GATATTCCTCCGCTTCACTGGACATCGTGTCCCTTTCCACCCTGCACAGGAGGATTCTCGAGATTGCTCAATCTGCCGCCTTGCCAGCCACAATGTGTCGATATTGCCCCAGAATTGTGGGGTGGAGACAATCACCCACGGACAGCGGGATGTGAGTTATGGGCCTCCCGAAAAGCTGTGCAGACAATCATTGAAGAAAGCGCAAAAAGTCCCTCCGAAGAGCATTTCAATTTCCCACCTCTGCCGGGAAAATTGTCCATTGGTTCAATTATTAAAATAAATTGCACCTCTGGAATCCATGTCACGCATTTTTTGCACAACCACTTTTTTTTCCGGCGCAAAAGGCTTTAAGGGGCGATATTCACACCAGCGATCAATTACAGCCCCAGAGGGTTGACATATTGGGTGTGAAAAGTGCGTGTGATGCAATTCGTTTTGATTTGTTAGACGCGAAGGTGCCATTCAAACGGTTCCGCAATGATTTATTTACACCTCCATCCCACTTCCGACCAGCCAGACACCATGGAACCAGAGATTACCTGGGGATAAACTGCGCGGATGCAAATGCTTGGCATGGAATTACTCTATCGGGGCTCCCAATGAGTCTCGAGTGCATTCAAGAGGACAAAATATTCAACGAAAATTGCTAATACAATATTTATCTAATGACAGAAAACCATGTAAACATCGCAGGATTACCAAAAGTTGCTAATGTGATGTTGCATGGCAATTCTGGGAGTCTTGAGTTGCGTCTAACAGAATACATTAAACTTCCTGCTCCATCAAAAGCTTATCTTGAGAATTCGTTTGAGGAAGATTTTATTAAAATAGTTACAAGTTAGACTAACAAAAGGAATAATAAACCGAAATGTTTCATTGTCAAATTCGATATGATTACAGGAATCGCATAAAACTTTATCATAGTAGGTTTATGATTTAATAAATTTGAAGTCTCAAATTGCCAACGTGCATTTTATTGGGAGGCGGGCAAATTTATATCTCAATGAATGGGAAATTTAAAGTCTTCGCTTCATAACTTCCACCTTCACGATAACCTATATAACTTCATATTAAAATGAGACCCAGCAATTCCCTTCTCTTGATTGATTAAAGGACATCCATTGTGACCCCTTGTGACCCCCGCGGAGTGCAACCGAGGGACTCAAAGTGTGGAGAGTCTTGGAAGGAAAGTAGAGCGAAGAAAAGCCTCACATCGATTTGTATGCAAATTTGAGATGTGCCTTCTTTAAAATAAATTGTCTCCCAGCATTTCTTTCACACCGTGCGGATGGTGACATAAAACGTGCCCCACCAAGTGCATAAAAGCAATTTACATTTCACCACTTGGGCGGGAGAGAGAGAATTGTTTGTGTCTTATGGGAACCAATAAACCAATGATGAACTCCATAAGGATTCGGCACTCTGTAGCTCAATTGAAAGGGGTTTGAAGGCGCAATTTGGGGGGCGGTCGAAAAATGCGATGAAAGGATTTTGCTTGAAAATTCTAATGCATTAATTTCCCAACCACTGAGCCTTGTGGCTCCTATCAATTTACACTTGAGGCAAAGTTTCGTCAACATTTGTCTTGTTGAAGGAAGGCTTCTCTTCCCCCAGGAGATTTCTTGAGTGACAAAGTTGGCATTTTAGAGGATATGGATTTGAAGTTAAATTGGGTCCTTCCTGACTTAATGCACCCAATACTCAAACTCAGACCACAACTTCTGGAAGCTCCCTTTCAATCCACTTTCTTGCCTCCGTCTTCTCGTCACGAGGTGAACGGGATTTTCTCCTTTCCACCCCCCCCCCAAAATGTATGTATTGCCCAGGATACGGAGTTTCTGTACACATAGAGGATTGTGTGGCTTCGAGAGACAAGTGAAAAGCCCGCCCGAAAAGTCTCCGTGTGCCATAAATCCCCCAACGAGTGGGGAGTCACCATTGTCCAACTTAATGACTAGCATCTTCAGCCATTCTCTGCCACAGATACAACTCAGTTCCCCATTTCACCAATTACACCTGTCTTCTGACCACTCTATCTTCCTAAGAGAAATTGCACAAGGCGCAGAAATGAGTGGATCTGCTTTTTCTCATGAGTAATTCGCTCGCTTCCTAATGATCTTATTTCAAATTGAGAAAAGAGTGATGATGAGGGTGATTTCTTCGCACTATATTACACACTGATATGCCACTAAGAATTTGAAGACCTCCTCCTTCCCATTGCTCACAGCTCTCTCTCGCTATTCGACATCTGAAAAATCCTCCCAAGAATGTCACGAGTAGCGAAATTAATTAATTGAAAAAGTTTCAAAATGCGCGAAGGTGCGGGTAAACTTCCCGCGCACTCGAGACACATCAAAATTCACCCATGCCAGCAAATGTGAAATTGCAAATCTCCATTTTAATATTGCTCCCTTCTCAGTCCCCCATTTCCCACTTTCACGGTCTTGTGGGTTAACACGGGAATCCGTATAGGAATTATCTGTGGGAGAAACACCTGAAATGTCTGCCATTCAGCCGAGAGATCATCTCCAGAAAGAGAGAGAGAGAAAGAGACTGGCTTCGAGGCATGCCAGATGATGGGAACTTCTTTCACGAGACTCACTCACACACTCCCTCTTGGGATTTTCCGTGCGAGGAAAATTGGAATTGACTTTAGTGGCATAATTTGGAATGTTTTTGTGCATCTGTCACAGTCAATTCCACACCAAATGGATACAATATTTCTCCAGTGTGTGGCTCTCAAGAACCCAAGGTAACATGTGCGTGGCTCGAATTGATGACTGCAATATCTGCTTTCGGCATTTGCCCGCAAAGCTCTGGGCTTTGGATAAAAATTGCTCAGTGACTGCGAGAGTCTGTATGAGTGTCAATTTGTGGCATCATTAATATTGTTTACGGTTTTCTCGTTTTGGTGCCAAATGCAACCCCACCACGCAGATCATCTGAACAATATAGCACACACCCGAGAGCCACCCCTATCATTCGTATAATGGCAATTCACCGAATCCGAATTGCGCTTTAAGAGACACCACACTTTGTCTTCCTCTGCAAGCTGAGAAGGTGGAAAAAAACAGCGAAAAATTCCATTCGTTGTGGAACATTTCATGATATTCTGAGAAATTTTCAACACAAAAAAAACCTCAGCAAGTCCACCATAATTGCGGTAATTTGCACGTCGCAGGAAGTCACTTGCGAAAGAAATCAATCATTTAACGCGGGGTGAATTTCTCGATCAATTCGCTGGGAATTTATGGGCAAAATTGAAGATGTCTCCAGTGAATTTAATTAGAGGGTGAGTGCATGAAGAACCCCAATTGACGTAGTATGATTTAGTGCGCCTGGGCGAATAAACGCACACACACACACACTCTTCCGAGATCATAACTCATAAATATGATATTTGGCGAGTGCGTTTCACGGGTTAATTAATCATCCCTGGGGAAGCTGAAGAAGCTCGCAACATGCGAAAAGATGCTGTACATCTTGGGCTATGTGGGAGTTAATCAAATTATCGATTTTCCTCTTGGCAATGTAAGAAACACTCTCACATGACTCGATATGACGACATATGGGACTCAACATTATCCCAGGGTCTTGCTCTTGAGACTCCGTAGCGATTCTCTGTTTGGAATTTCAATCGCTCTGTGTGAGATACCCAGTTGGCTATTCCAACGAAAGCGCTCCCACGAATTATGTTTATTGCAAACTGTATCCATGTCAGGGGGGGGGGGGAATTTTATATATTTCTATCATCCACAAAGTGGGGTTGGGGGCTGGGGGAATTGTCCAAGGAAGTGAGCAAGAAGTTGTGGTGAAAAAGGCTGAAACACTGCAGACATGGAATAAAATGCTGTGTAGAATGTTGAGGGCGGAAGTGTGAGTTGCAACGGCGCTGGTGTTTATATAAATTTGCAACATCCTCTCATACTTACCGCCAAGATTAAAATAAACCTTCAAATTCATCCGTATTGTGCCAAACTCAACTGCAAGGAACTTCCCAAATAAGCGATATCTTCCCAACTTCGCCACTGCGACTCACAAACACCACAGCATTCTTAAAAACGTTGTTCTGTGCAAAAAAAAATGACCATGTAAAATGTTCTGGGAAATTTCTCCAAGAAACTTTTAGAGGAAACCTAATTTTCATAAGAATCATTAACCTCATCATGTGGTTGCAAGTGTCTCTCGGGCGAGAAGGTGTGCAAGAAGGAAAAGTTGAGGAGGAAAGGAAGCTCATTTTGGGTGGTTAGATGGCAAGAAGGTGACTTGTAAGTTAATGCTTCCTTTGCATGTTCTTTTCCACCAACTTTAAATGCTTGAAAATATTATCCCATGAATGGTGAAAATCATATAATTTTCACATGTTCATGACTTTTTTCCCTTTAATCTTTGAGCTTTTTCATCGAGACAGACGAGAGAGTGAGAGAGAGAGAGAGATCGTATAGTGAAAATGGTGGAGTTCTTCTGTGGGATTTTCCTCATGATTGGACATGGGTTTTGGTCCAGTTTGTGAGCACAAAAGGAGAAAACCGACGAAGCAATTATTTTAACAAGCTCATCCTGTTGACTTTGACGATGAAAACTTGTCTGGGACAAGTGAATTGGTGGACAATATTCAATGGCTTGAAGGGCATCATGACGAACAGTTGGAGGGAAATTGTATGGAGAAAGAGCTGCGAAGGAGAGCACAAATTATACTCATAGTGATGGTGTATTGAAGGAGGATAAAAGAGAAGGAAGAAATGCTTTAGCACAAGCATTTTCACATTGGAGAATCACTTGATGAGTTTCATGCCAAATTGCTGGAATATTCTAAATTCCCCACCCAGCAAAACATTGAGAAATTTCACCACGAAAACTTTTTTCCTCTCTCTCTCAACTCCTCCAAACTCTTGCAAAACACTCTTGCGTCAGCATTGAAGCTTTCGTGCGTCTAAGGAATTTTTGATGGAAAATGGAATGCAAAAAGACTCTCTGGATAGAAATTTTCAACTCTTCACTTTCCTCATTCAATGTGTGGATATTTTAAAAAAACAGATAAATAAATTAACAGCGCTCTCCCATTCCATCAGACGCCTTCACGAGCATTCGTGGTCGCGGTATCAGTTGTCATGAGTGTAGATGTAGGGAAATTCTTTGGTTGGACACTTAAACTTCACGGATGGCGACTCCCAAGAGACGGCTTTGTTCGTGATCGGCTCCATGATGTTGTTCCACAGGGAAGTGCCTGCCCATCTGCCAAAAAGAGGGGCGAAAGAAGTTATTTTAAATGTAATAAACTCTGTTATCCTTTTATAGTTATAACTCCGAATTGACTTTGCAAATCTATTTCCTACAACTTTCAATCCATTCAGTGGGCAAAGGAAAATACTCACGCGTGAGCTTTTTGACTCATGTGGAAGCAGTCGAACGCCAGGAGTGAGTAGTCGGTTTTGTCGTCCTTTGTCTTTATCTATTTGGCCGGAGGAGATAAAATGCAAATTGAATTGTGCAGAAATGCCACAGAGATAAAAATACACCAGCCACCATTGCGAGCGACTCACCGAGAGATTGAGACTAAATGGCTGATAGACAACGGCGAACTCCTGCAATCCCTTAAATTCATCATACTGGGCAACTTCGGCTTCGGCTTTAATAAACTCCTGCTGAATGTTGTGGAGTCTCCGCCGGAGTTGGTCTGTCTGATTGTACAATCTACCCTCCCAGCATGAGCACTCAATGTGATGCATGAGTCGACACTGTTCTGGCTTCGGCTTCAATCCCACAACTTTGTCCACTGATGGAACGGAAACAATATTCACAAATGTTCTGCAAGGCATTTACATAATGCATTTTACCATGTGGGACTATTTTAAATTACAATCTCGCCACTCAGACAACACTTTTACCTTGGCATGTTATCACGAATGTACCGCAGGGTCTTCAGCAGGCTCACCCTGTGCTTCCCCGGCAGCGATTCTGGATCGTCCCACGTGCACACGAACGAGCAAATGTCATTTCCACCTGGAAGTTGTCACAGAGACGCTGATTAGGCACTGATTGTGGTGGATTATTGGGAGAAATGTCTGCATTTGAACACTTCATGTACAGACCCATGCTGATGGTGAGCATTTTCCAGTGCTTCTTGAAGTTCACCCTCTTGTCTGATCTGATTCTCCGGATGAGGGTTCTGGCCATGTAGGGCAGATCCGCGGAAACGGCCCCAATTTCCGCCACGTTGAACTGCGATGCACGATGGAAAGGATAGGAGTCGCCGATGGAGTAGCCGAAGACGTTGGGATTGAAGGCGCGCAGGATGTTGGGCAGCGTGGTGGAGTTGCGCCAGTCCCACTGGCCACCGATGCACCACGCGAGGCCGCGATTCTCCATGAAGAGGTCCATGAAATTGGTGGACGTGGCGCCCGTGGCGGCCGTCAGTGAGTCCCCCATTGCGGCGATAATGTCAATGTCCCCTGCAACGAGTGGCCTCGGTCAGCAACTTCTTCTATCGCTACGAGCAAGGTTCCAAGGAGGACGAGGAGCATTGCAACACATATCATACATTCCTCCTGACATGCGACCATAAGCGGCCGACTTGCAGCTAAACTGCACCTGATTAGGAGTGTATGGCGTGGTGTAATTAAATTGGAGCTGGTCAAATTTGCGCAATTGCCAGTCGCAGAGCTGGTTCTTCATCTGCGCCACTTAAACCAGATGGTCGACAAGGTGGAAATTGGCTCTCCTGACATTAGAATGCTATTCGCACACAGCCAAGACACTCTTTCCGAAGACCATTTCGCAAAGCTGTGACATCGTTCTATCGGCCAATTAAATTGCGAAAGAAGTGAAATAATTTAAATTATATACTGCAACTTTAGGCCGATCTTTTTCTCAGAAGCATTTTTGCACTCAATTCGCGTGTTACCATTGAATATGTGTTATGCGGCGTGTTGCGCTCTTCGCAAGTTCACAGTGGGGAGTCGGTTTTAGAGAAATTGAACACGAAACGACAATCAACTAAAGCGCTGGAAGGATTTTGCAATTTCCGCGGAAATCGGTGGTGATTTCATTCAAAGACGCGTGACTAGACAGAGTTGCATCTCACCTGGCCTCAGCTTGTGAACACTCGTGGGTGGTTTCTCGCTGCGCCCAAAGCTGGTGTCGCAGGGAAATGTGTCCAGTGGCTGCTGAAGATACTTTCCGCTGTTCCGGAGGCCGGTCTGTCCCACGATGCGGAAGGTCATGTTGCGGAAAGAGTGAAAGAGTGGCCGAATGATGAGATTGTCGAGTGGCGACGAGCCGGTGATTATGCGGGCGCCGCCAATGGCGAAAGTCTGCACGAAAATTATGGCAAAGAAGACAACTTCGAGGGAGATCTTTGTCATTTTCATCCTCTGGCACATTTTAAACCTCACAAGTCACTTCCTTCATCTCACAGTTTCAGCCACATCACACTTAATTCCTCGGCGTGCTGAACTTTGTCATCACTGGAAGGCATTTTAAAGTTGAAGAGAGGGAAAGAGATAAGAGAAGGCGTTAGACAATGTCTGGCGGTTAAATGCTAATCTCAAGGGAACACCAATAAATCAGCGAAATTTCTTGTTGCATCGCCAAATGCACTGAAAGGTCACATAAAGACACCCGCCAAGCCTCTTCTTCCTCTCGCATTGCGGATATTTGTCGTCTTTCACGGTGGAAAAAAATCACACTGAATGGAGGGAAATTGGCTGTAAGAGTGCGAGAAAATGTCGAGAAAGTCTCCGAGCCTCCCTATTAGTGTATTGAAACGATTTTGACGTGATTATGCAATTGGATGCTATTTATTATGATAAAGAGGAACAACTTTGGGATGATTCACGATGTGGAAATTTCAATATTTTCCCACAATTATCCAGCAAGTGATCAATCTTCATACAGAGACAGTAAATCTTGAGATTTTCAGTGTCTGTCTCACTTAATCCGCTCATCAAGTTTCATTGATTCTATGAAAGATTGTGAGAAATTTAATTGGCATCACCATTAATTGTTTTATGCTGCTAACGAGAAAGTAGTTTTTTAGCAAACTTCAGAGGATAATAAGCAACAATATGGAGAGCAAATACTGACTTTAGGCTTTGGAATCTTATCCTTACTCTTCTGTCCGTGCTTTTCTTTACAATTTCAGTCATTTCCTGCATCTTTACTTCACTCTCATCAAAATATAGCAATATTTTGAGCCAGTTTTCAGGAAACTATCAACTCTTTTCACCAATTGCTCGCCTTCTAATCGCACAATCGCTTGGTATGCACCAAATGAACAAATCCAGCAATTAAATGACACAATTGACGGACTTTCGATCACGAAGCCGTAAAGGCAAAAATTCGGAGGCCCACTCATAACATTCTGGTGACTTTCTCGCTGACCAAAAATTGCTCTCCTTGACTCACAATTCCATTGTTTCTGAAGACTATCTTACTCGCGTGCGGAGAGACGCGTTTTCGCGCGAAATAAAACGGGGAGACACATTAAATGGGCATTGCGGCACTGCAAGTTGATCTTGCCGTGTGACCGTCATTCGGACTGATGCATTTGACGTGCGATTTGGACGATTAAGAGAACCGCCGAACACACACCGGACGGCTTTTACTTCCGACTCAACTTCCTACTCCGCGGCGGGATTCATTCATACGATGTGAGGAGAACTGGTTGAAATTGCAGCACACAATCTTACCACGAAAAATGCGTTTATATTGAAAATCTCTCTGCGCGCGCTGCAACTTAATCTTTCTCAGTTTGGGCCCCAAAGACAGACAATAATCCACTTTTTGCGCCTGCCTCCACATATGATCGTTGCCACACCGCACAGACTTCCCACTTTACAATCACATATTTTCAGCCACTTGTCAACAACGAAACACTGCGCTGAGATCTCTTAGGAATGTTGAATTTCTTTGGGGGAGAGAAAAAAAGCATTAAATTATCCGCGATTGAGGATTATTGAGAAATGCGCGCGCGCGCAATTCAAGTGGACAATTCGTGAGGAAGCCTCGTCAAAGCTCACGGAATGTACAAGACCGTCTGGGCATATAATTTGCGCAGTCTCTGTCGCTGAGGTCTCAATATATATTGGCTCACGAGGCGCTGTGTTGCATAAGATATCACCAAGTGGAGTGTTTAATATATGTTTGTCTCTCAACACAAAAATGCGAAGGTTCTGCACCGCACAAAAAGGAATCAACTTGACCACCGCAAAAACACAATAAAGTGCCAAAAATTGACACACATTCGTCAATAATAACTGCGTGAAATTAACAAGATATTCACCTTGATTTTGAAACTATCAATATCACGCACTGTTGTGGAAACTTTACGACGCTATTCTCGGACAAATGCTGCAGAACTCCCAACATCACGCCTCGAGATTCACGCAAAGACTGCGGAGAGTTGGTCGCCTGATCTCCATGGCTCGTGGTCAGGTTTCCCGTGCGAGAGTCAAGTGTCTCTCAGACCAAAAAGAATGCTTGTTTACAGTGTGACTCCAAGATCCTCTTATATCACCATCGCTGTGTGACTCAGAGTGGATGCTTCCGCTTGCAGATGCCTTCCCACCGTACTTTTGCCAAAACTTCGCCAACATCTTCGAGATTTGAGACGTTGGACGTAAATACGATGGGAAATTTGACACTTTATTACTCACTGTTTAAATGAAAGCGAAATCCAGACACTAAAAGGAATTAGTGATGAAATTGAAAAGTAAGAGGGAAAATGACTGAAGAGTACGCAAGAGGATGGAAAAACCCAATTTTTCCACACATATAAACTTCCTCTCGTGATTCTATATGGTTGAAAGGATAAGATTTCAAATTTTGAGAACATCCAAAACTTGGCTTTATTCAACTTTGTGCAGAAATAAGACTTCCTGCACTGACTTATGCTCTGAGTCAAAGGTTAAACATACATTTTAGGAGAACTGCGAAATTCCAACATCCGCTGAAAGTTCAGTGAATCACCCTTTGAGGCGAGAGGCAAGCATCATGTGGAAATTGGCGAGATCTCTTAACAGATTCTTGTACGAGTGGCTTCGAGTGCGGCTTCGCTGCGGTTTTGAGCGCTCATCTCGCCGGAGATCATCAATGGGAAGGGATTAAATGGTACATTGAAATAGACGCAACTGCAGACGAACACCTTCTCCATCCACTAGGCGGAATTATTCAAAGTGTTGCCAATGGAATTGTGACCGAAGACAAGATTTTGTGTCATGGTACTCAATTTGAAATTACATTTGAAATGCAAAGTACCATTTCTACACACGCTGAGAAACATTGGCATGAGGTAAAATCCTTCGGCGGATCCAGCAATTTCTTCTCCACGCGGTGTACATTTTCTCCAGCTGTTGTCACACTCTTGCACAGCATCGGAGCGACACTTTTTCCCTCGCGAGACACCTCAAGTAGATCATGCCAATCAAATTAAGTCATTTCACGCAAATTATGCAAGTTTTTCTATGCAAAAACCAAACCAATATTGTCACACTGCAAATCCGTTAAAAACACACAAAATTATGTGGGCAGAAAAAGCTTCATCATCAAAATATATATATCACGTCCCATTTAAAAACCGGACATCTTTCGTGAAGAAATTATGATGGAGTGTCTGCGGTGCTTTAATCGCATAAAATGACGAATCAATTAGGCGTTTTTTTTGTCATCTGGCAAGTCGAATATTCATGCTGAAGCACAAGAAATTCCAATCAGTAAAAAAGTGAAAGTGATATTGACTGGCAATGAACTATATCTCTGAGCTTTTTGTGGCCGTTCTGCGGGTGTCAGAGTTCTCTGTCGGCACTCGCGCGACAAAAAAAGAAGACCATTGATAATCGAAAGCCTTATGCAGCATCACATAATCAGCAGAAGAAGTATGTCAGAGATGTGAGAAAAAATGCTATAGAGTTGACTTAGATGAAATTTGAGACGCTATACGAATGCAATAAGATATTCTTTTCTTAATGTGCAATTGTCCCTACATTCCTCACTTAAACACCTTAACTTGAATTTAATCCTCATTAGTGCCATCTCGGACTAAGGCAAAGTTACAATCTACGAATGCAATGCAAACTTTTCCCTGAATACAATGAATTTTCTTCCCATCCCGTGACTCACAACATATGCGCCATTTCCCAATGAAACACCCATAAAACTACATTGAATATTGCAGAATCCTCTGGACTGAAAATGCCAGATCTCCATAAATGAGTTCTACGTGAACAAATGCAACATGTCTTGGCACTGTCGTAATGATTCTCGCATTAAGACGTGTCTCATGACCTGCGGAGACGCATTTCTTTGGGCGCTATTAAAATTTAATAAAAATTTCTCATCTCCAAGCGTGTTTTACCTGAAGAATCGTGCTGAAATGAGTGAGGCATTCCTCAGCCTCGTAAAATGTTGACCTATTGACTGTTTATGGATATTCAGTCACGAACATCGAGTCTTTTTCCACCCACTGTCGCTTCCTCATTTGTATTCGTCATCAATTTTGAGCCGTGAATATCGATGGACAATCATTTTCCTCTCACCTCGGGTGAAATGGAAAACACATTGTGAATTTATTTTTTTCTTTTTCGCCATTATACGTCTGCACCCATCCAAACAATTGCCATTCACAGCGAGAATGCACAAGAAGAGCGTTGGCAGAATTAAATAAACATCCACGCGCGTCTCGTGAATATTATGGAATTCAAGTGCCTAATGAAGACTTCAATTGCCTTATCAGCATTTTAAATTACACCTAAATAGATCTTCTGCATGTGTGCAAACACTGAATACTTGTCTCATGTTTGTTTCATCTGCCGAAAAAAAAATTGTTTACCCATTGTCTAAAGCGCCTTTTTGAGTTGGGGGAACATTGCAAATATTTCAAGAGAAAAATATTTGGTTGTCTCATTCTTTTACGATGCCGTTTTGTACGCACTCAGCAGAAATCCTCACGATTTTCGCCCCGCATTAGCGACATATCGATAAATTTTTATGCAATTCCTCATTATTAATTACCTTGTAATACTTTGCAAAGATAAGTTTTTGCATTTTTTTATCAGTTGCTCAAATTGCAACATGTAAACAATTTCCAAAAGCCCATAAATATGTGAAAATGAGCAACAATTCAAGGTGTTTTGGAACTCAATCGATATAAAATCCTATCGTGAATGTCTCAAAAAGTCACAATTTTGACCCTCGTGATTAATTTCCCTTCTTATGGTGTACTTCTTCTCTGTGCTTTAAGAGTGTTTCTCTTTGCAATTAACAGTGCTTTGTTGACTTTATTGTCTTCGCACCTCTTCATCATCGATTCCTCTGCCTATTTAATCTGCAATTTACCTCCAGACTTGCCTCCAGCGTCTTTTTGCTTTTAGCACGAAGAAGATATTTCATCAGAGAACTTAACGCAATTGTCCTTCGCCTTCCGTTGTTTATGACTGTATAGAGAGTTAATATTTATTGTCTCTGCGTGCGTCAAAATAAAAAGAAATAAATCCAGAACACCGAGGCTGCAGATAAATATGCCATAACGCCAGCAGTCAAGATCATCGCCAAAAAATCGTAGGGTGTGCTCTAGGCTAGAGCGGTGATTGACTCTAGCGCGTGCATATCACGTTGATCTTGTCGCCTTGCCTTGAAATAGACACTGAAAAGCGTTACGAAATCTTTCACTCTCGTTTTTTTTCTTCTTTACACCAGCAGCATAACTTAATTTTCTCCACACGCGCCGCCGGTGAAAATGTCTCTCTTCTGCTGCACTTGATCGGGACCTTGAGAAAGCCCAGATCAAGTTCCCACGCAATTCACTTCTCTGGCGCCTTTCACTTCGCCCAAAATGCTTCCTGGGGGAAAATTCGATGCACTCTCTATCGACTGCAGAAGCCCTTTAACTCACAATCTCACCATCAGTCTTGATCTTTGCGGTGCATTTTATAATTAAAAAAGACTGCAATGCGATGAATTGAAATACGTGGCGGGGAGAAGCTTTCTCAACCATCTTCTCAGCGACCGCCACAATGCAGGCAAAATAACTGTTGAGCGACAAATCGCTGAGATTGCGCGCTTTCCTCTCGAAAATCCTGACGTCACGCGCTAAGTGAAATGGTAAACCGCGGATGAATGGCCATCACGGAATTGCAGAAACTTCTCACCCACGCACAACTCTCTTTTCCTCCGCCACGAGACACTTTAGAGCTGTGCAACTGTGTAAAAGATCATCAAACAGACCAATTGTTAATGTGAGTTTACACACAATTTGGAGCTCTTCTGTGTCTCTTGTTAGCGAACTTGTGGTTGTTTTGTTCCACAGATCGTTTCGCTGCTCTTAGCTTGAAAATTATTAAGTAATCTGAAACTCTTTTTTTTTCTTTTTCACCACAATAAAATGGACTTTCTGAGGCACACCAAGAAATTTCGCCACACGAAGCAAAACGGGTTTAACGATCTTTAGATAAATTCAAGCCAGAAAAAATAGATGTAAAAACACATATATGTAGTTTATCAGGATATTTCGCATGGCAATTGCGATGACAAAGTGATGGATAAAAGTTGCGTAAGCGCTTGATCAGCAGAATAAAGAATATCCAGAGCGTAAGATATTCATGTTTTGTCACAAAAATTTATGAAAGCAGAAAAATTGTAATTCGTGTTGGATTGGGCAAAATTTTGTAATATGACTGGTTTGCATAATTTCTTTAAAGTGATAGTCAAACCACATGATGGAATGAACGAATGATGACCCCTTATCGAAACAACAAGAGAATGGCTCTCCACTTGATTTCTTTCATTTCAGTTTTTATTACAAATCTTAAGACTTCGATTTCAACAAAGGAAATAAATCAAGAACTGACAGAAGTGAGCAGTTTTCACGCCACATTGCTTGTAATTGGCAAACAGTAGAGCAAGACTGAAGGAGTTCGAGAAAGGATCTTATTTCACAGCCACGCCCCTTTAAATGCCCCGCCCAATTACTGATTATTTCTACTTGAAATCCTTCATTTGCCCATTTGTTACATGAGCTTCACCAAAGTTTCGTATTTCATTAAATTAAATCAACAATTGACTTGTTTTCTGAGTATGTCTGTTGAATAAAGTGAATAAAAATTTTTAGTATAATAAGCAAATTGCTATGGTAATTTCATTGACGGTGTTTTCTTTGCTAGCATTAATCTTCATTTCATACCTTCGTTGGCTACAGTATAAGCAGCTTATGAAACTACACACGTTAATGGGAATTGCATCCGAATTTATTGGCCAGGATGGCTCGATAGACTGAAAATCTTCATCAAATGAACGATGCGCGCGAGTTTTGTTATGTGAGTTCTTTTCATTTGCTAATGTTGATGAGATATTAAAACTGGATTCAAACTCGGAATGTATCGTGTGTGTAATTTCTCCAAGAAATGTCTTGTATCATGATCCTCTTTCTCTCCAGTTGACTCCGTTGGGGATTGCACAACCAAAGATCTGTACCCCAGATCGGATTCACTTTCAATTAGCTTCTCCCATGCGCCGCAAAGTGAAGACGATGCTGATGTATACGGAAAAGAGATTGATAATTGAGTCAAGAGCAAAAAAATAGACACACGGCAGGTGAGAGGAATTTTTGCTTGCTTTGGGAATCTCGTGCCCGTAAAAAAAAATGTGTGGTCAAAAAAGTGAAACAACTTGGGAGTGGAGACAGAATACGATCTTATTGTATGCTTCGGGCTGAATTAAATTCGTGTGGCAATTAAAAGTGAGCTGAAGATGGCCATTCATCACGACTATTTCACAGGTGATCTGCTCAACAATACAAGCAAGCCATATACAAGACATTACCATGAATTGTAGACAACGAAAAGTTTGTCAATCGTGATTTTGCCCACAATATCGCGTTCCTCCTCCACCCAAAAACCGCGCACTGTTCCACATTGAGCAGATGAAGCTGGAACACTGGCTAACGAGATTCCGTGTCCATAAATTCACCGATCGGAGAAAGTAAGAAAAAAAAAGAAGTCAGAATTATGAAACTCAGCATCAATCCTATATGATTCGCCACCTTCACCACATCGTCATCCATGGCAATCTCCCGCCAGGAGTGGCTGGCAAAAGACAAAGTGCACATCACGACCCTACAACTGGGGTTCGGTCAGCAACTCGCGATGGTCTCTGTTTGGCGCAATGGCTCTTTCTCCTCTCCATGCATTATATTTAACAGAAAGGCGTCCGGAAGCAAGGCTGGCGCACTCAATTGGAGGAAGTGTACGCGCCGCTTCAGCAATCAGAATTTCTAATCAAATGTTTGGGTGTGAAAGATGTGAGTTAGCCTTTAACACAGTCCTGAGGCGTTCCAGGCTACACACAACCATTTGGGGTAGTTTTTTTTTATTTTCTGTTGAAATTGTGGTCCTGATTTTCCAGCCTTAATGCGTAAAATGCGAAAAACTTTCATTTCTCAATCAATGACTCAGAATAGCGTGAAGACATGAAATATTAGCTTTATTTTCCTTTATCATGTAAAGTAAAATTCTGCACTAAAGAGCAAATTAATGAAGTGTACAATCATCTCACCAACTCAATGCTCTCTTGTCTGCGTGAATCCCTTCACTTGTGACCCCACCGAAAAATCTCTCATTTGGCACCCAAAATACCCAACGAGATCGCAGATGACGCGGTGTGGGCAATTCAGCGATGCCGAAAGTGCGTCTGGTGGGCAAGACAAATGTGATTGTGGTATATAAAGATGATGAGAGCTGGAGATGGTACCATAAGACCATTTTCAGTGACCAGGAATACTCGTCTCTCAGTGTGCATCCTCGAAAGTCGCGAGTTCAGTGAAAACGTACTCTGGTGGAATATATATAAAAAAAAAGGAATAGACAAACACACACAAAATATGAACAAATTCTGTGTGGTAAGTTTCATCCATGGTCAATATCGTTACAATTTTCGGGGGATGGACTAGCTGCGAGGATTTCCCGGTTTTGTGTGCGTGCTTAATGTGGATTACTTCATTTGCATTTGGATAACAATATTTTGTCAACCATGTGGGGGTGTTTATTTGTCCCCAGGAAGAAAATGAAATTTCACGCGTGCACTCAAAATGCAAATAATCATAATTCATATCGACTGCACTCTATGGGTCAAATAAATCAGTTTCAACATTGTGCACACCAGAGCTCACAATTGCGACAACTATTCCAACATAAATAATTGATTTACGGCTGTGTTATATGTTTACTCGCGACGGAATCCTCATTTCCATCATTTCGCACATTTCACGGGCACTTCCTGATTGTGCGAAACACAATACATATTCAGTGTGTGCGACCTTTTCGGAATCGATTATGTTCCAATCATAACGTCTCACGAGCATTTTCTCTCAGTGCACTCCACAATCTCTTCCGAGCAGCCACAATTCTTCCCACTTCCCCCAAAAGCCATTGCGAGCGCTCTTCTCTGACCTTTTCCGATGAAAGTGAAGATGCGAAAGCCACTCTCGAATTTCTCGATCATCGCCAATTCGAGGTCATGCGATGAAATGGAAGACAAGCGCGTCGTGATCAATAAAACACAGTCAAGTGTGTGGCCAAGCGATGCTGAAAAGAGACTAGTTTGCCAGAGTCATTATGGTAATTGGATGTTTTAGGAAGCGCGCGCGCGCGCCAAAGCGGCAACTTTCGCACATCTCCATAGGCGATCGACAATAAATTTTAGGGGATAGGAAGTGCGCTCGCTAAATTGGAGATTTCTCTTGCAGATTGGCGTGCTGGCGCTGGCAGCTGCCGTTCTCGCTGAGCCACCGTCCTTCCGTCGTCCATCGTCGTCGTACGGAGTGCCGTCTGCCAGCTACGCAGCGCCCTCTTCCAGCTACGCAGCGCCCTCTTCCAGCTACGCAGCGCCCTCTTCTAGCTACGGAGCCCCCTCTCTGTCCCTGGGACACAGCAGTGGAGGATTCGGACACAGCAGCGGAGGATTCGGACACAGCGGAGGATTCGGACACAGCGGAGGATTCGGACATAGTGGAGGATTTAGCAGTGGCGGCTTCGGTTACAGCAGCGGAGGACTCAGCCATGGTGGTGGTTATAGCCATGGGGGTGGCTACAGTCACGGGGGTGGCCTGCACTCTGGCTTCGGCGGCGGCTACCGCGCCGTGAGCCACGGCTACCAATCCAGCGAGGGCCAGCACGTTGACCCTCAGCTGCTGCACAAGGTGAAGCAGATCCTGCTGGACCAGGAGAACCAGGCTGAAGCCCACCACGGCGGCCACCACGGAGGTGCTCTCTTCACCCCATCCTCCAGCTACGGCGTGCCCTCCCACTCCTACGGCGCCCCCTCACCCGCCTACGGCGTTCCCCATCACCAGACACGCGTTGTGGGCATCGACCTCGGCCACGTGCGCCAGGGCGTGCAGGTCGCTCAGTACCACCAGGAGTCCCTGGGACACGTGAGCCACGACGCCGGCTATAGCTACCCATCCTCCGGATACTCCGCCCCGTCGTCCACCTACGGCGCCCCCGCCGCCTACGTGGCCGCACCCTCGTCGTCGTACGGCGTGCCACACCACTAAATAGCAGAAATCTTAGTCACAGTCTTGAAGATCTCTCTCCTGCACTCTCTCTTCCCCGTCGATCACCTTCTGATTTCCCTCCCTGTGGCGAGAAAAAGACGAAGAATGTCCAAGACTTGATTTTGTACATATTCCATGTGTCTCTTGTAAATACGCATTAATAAAAGAATAAGTTTAACAATCAACTGTTGGCGTTTGTGAAAATGTATGGCTTTTCGGGCGTTGGACACTTGAACTCCTGGAACAGCGGTCTGAATCCTAGACTCTTCCTCCCGACAGGCTCCATCATATTGTTCCACAGTCCGTTGGCACTGACAGCATGTCCTTTCTGGCTCAAGTGTACGCAGTCGATAGACATGAGACTCATGTCGGGCTGCTTAGAGCCTCTGTAGAACACCGAAGCGTCCCCAAAGAAGGGCTGAAACACCACCGTGAAGTCCTTAGTGTGTAACTCTCCCAGGAAACTCACTCTCTCCATGATCTTGACGAACTTCCTCTCCAAGGAACGATACAACTCGCGATCCTTGGAGTAGCGAGGACCAAAGAGGCAGGAGCACTCAATGGGACGCGTGAGTGAGCAGGAAAAGGGCGTCTGCACGTGATCCATGGAGAAGGAGAGGCTCAACAGTGGCGATGGCACGAGATTCACAATCGTGCGTGGCATGTTATCGCGAAGGTAGCGCAGAGACTCAATCAGGTACTTTTCCTGCATCTCATTCATCCACAGCGTGGCGTTGGTTTGATAGCAAACGTCCGAGCAAAAGTCATTTCCGCCAATCATGTACGTGAGAATTTTCCAATGATGCGTCATGTTGACTCTGAAAGAGAAGAACTGAAGTAAGAAAGCGCTTTTTATCCTTTCAAATCCGCGAATTATGAAAAAACAATCACAAGAAGAGTTAATCAAAAAGCGCTTTCATATCGAGACCATCACAGTAATGACTCTGTATAATATTTCTCTGAGTTTCTTTTTCCTCCGACATCAATAAAGTAGTTTACTCTGACATCTCTAGAATTACAAATAGAGAAGCAAAGAAAAAAACCTGTAAATCGACCCCATAATCAAATTGCAACACCATCCAATCTCGCGCTTTTGGCAGCCAATTGATTACAGTGCATTGCTCGCTTCTTTTTGCCGATGAGCCCGTGTTTGTGGCACGAGTGAGAAAAAGAAATGGTAAGAGTCCATTTGAATTCAATTGCAGAATTAAATGAATTTCAGTGATGAAATTGATGAGATAGTATTGTGTGAAATGAAAGTGAAAGTAGTTTCGGACATAAATTCCTTGGACTCACCTGGAATCGAGCCTCATGCGTCTGACAAGTTTTTTCACATTGTACGGCATATCGCTGGTTGTGGCGATATTTTCCGCCACATTGAACTGGGCCTCGCGGTGCACATTGTACGAGTCACTGAGTGAGTATCTGTGCAGGAGAAAGAGTGTCAGAGTGGAGAACATCTTCCCGATTTCAGGCAATTAAGTCTCTTGTGGGCGGCAACTCGAGCACACCATGCCACGTCAACCTCATCGTCAATCAATTCCCGGGCAAACTCACCCAAAGAGCTGCGGATTGTACTCCTTGATGATGTTGGGGAGTGTCAGATGTGTGCGCCATGTCCCTTGACCCCCAATTGACCACGACACTCCCCTGTTCTCCACCATCACCTCCCACAGGGCGACGGAGTTGGCAGCTGTGGCCGTGGTTAGGGAATCTCCCACGGCTGCAATCACATCGATATCGCCTGCAGGAAATTGAATTTCAGTTCAGAACCTACCCTAGATTGCCATGAGACTCACCAGGACGCACTTGCTGGACACTTTCCGGTGGCTGAGAGCTGCGGAAGCCCTCGAGTGAGCACGGGAAGGCTTTGGAACGTGACACGTGCGATTGGAAGGAGTTTCCAGATTCCCTCTGACCAGTCTCACCCAGGATGCGACTGTAGATCTCGCGAAAGCCACGGTAAAATCTCCGAATGGGCAGGGAAGCATCCAAGGGACTCGTCACGATGGTGTCCTTGTATGTCTGGGTCCCTGTGAGATTCCTCAGCAAATTCCCAGTCGTGCGACTGATCACATTCTCCTGTCCAGTGGGAGCCAGAAGCTGACCGCTGGATGAGGCGATTAGGATGACAATCAAGTATGAAGGATGCATTTTCCTGCTGCCACTGTGGATCAAGATAACATACAGTTCATTGTACAAGACAGGATCACACGAGAGTTTTATTAATTCTGTCGTTTTACGTTTTAATGAATGGAAAATTTATATAACTCATTAACTGAAGTTACCAAGACATCTCTCCAAATTATCTCCGTCATACATCAATATACATTTCAACTCGCTTCATAAACTTAATTGCAATTTAAGCCACACTTGTGCCAAGCCTCATACTTTTACCAAATCTACACTGTCGACCATAAAACCATCGAAATTACAAAGAAATTGCAGCCCAAAACTGATCGAAAACTGGAAATGCACAGTCTGGATAGTGCACGCAAGACGTCATGATGGAGAAATTATTCGTGCGATTGCAGATTTCGGCAGAGGATGGGAAAGGAGAAATGGCTTGCGAGGGCAGCGAAATTACAAGAAATTCCAGCGCAATTGACAACGCGCAGAGAGGCAGAAAAAAGGCCTGAAATGCCTGAAATTGACGCTATATCGTTCGAGGAAGTGAGAGTTTTGCACATGGGCGGCATTTTTTTTTGGGAAAGTTACCGCCAGTGTGAAATATTAATAAAATATCTTCAGACAATTTAAAGTGATTTTTGGCGACTCGCCCGGGAAAAAATGTGATAATTAATTTTCTTTCCGCAATCTCGCGCGTGTATTTGTGAGGGGAAATCATCAATTGGCCAATTCATCAATCCAACACTTCACCATCAAAGACGCCTCGTGAGGCAATCACGCCAAGAGATGAGTATTTGGACTGAGACAAAGGCCCGCAATGAGGCGGTTTCTCGCTCATTTATTAATGTAATGATCCCATTACATAATGCCAGATACATAAAGACACGCTAGGAGAATGTCCGAGAGATGAAAATCAATTTTGGGGGTCTTCATTTGGCCAAAAATTAATTCACGCGCGATTGTCTTTCATCTGGGAAAGTGTTGTCTTCTTGTGCAAAAATCACAATATTTTCGAAATTGCATATGCGCGCGTATTTAATTAGGCAATGAAAAGATATGCAGCGCAATCGAAGAGACAAGTTGATGGTCAGTTTAGATGGACAGCAGAAATCAATTCCCCATTGAATATTCAGTGCCTTTAAACGGTTTTCTTTTGAGAAACAGGTTATAAATTATTCTCACTTTCGTCTGAGGCATATTTTCCCACTACAATGCGTCTTCGTCTGCATGGGCCAAAGAAAACAAAGACACACACCATCAGAAAATCAAGGGAGATTTTCACCAATGAGCCACACGATGATCCAACAATTAAGCAAAGTTTTGTGAAGGAAGGACAATTTGAAATAAGTTTAAAGTTCACACACACACAAGAAGTCATTTAGTTCTGCTGGCAAGAATCGCCAAGAAAGGAAGAACATATTCCACAATACAGTGAAGTTTTTTATTGGAAAAGTTCCGTCTCTCCTTGCCAATTAATTGCTTAAAGTCATCCTCGAGTACAGTTTGAATTGTTCTATCTTCCACCTTTATCTGGACTTGAAAACAAATAGTTTTACTGCAAAAATTCCCACAGAGAGTGTGATGAATTATATGTGGGTTTTCTTCATGGGTGGAAAGCTAAGAAAAATTTAGAGTGTTTGTTCACAATTCACAAAATAAATTATACTTTATTTGCAGAGATCATCGTCGAGGTTTAGTTCTGTAGCTCCACCCACAAAATTGCGCCGCCCACTAGAATTGATAGTCAAGGAAACTCATGTCTCAATCACAAAATGTCATGAAATAGTGTACTTGTTCGCCCCTTGAATAAAGAACGTATTGGCATGGTAAATGGTAAATATTGAATTGATTTAGCTGCGTCCAGTGTGTACTAATTTGGTGTTAAATATTGCAGAAAATCCCCATTGAATATCCATTACAATTGAATTGTGACACAGTCCTCCTCATTAAGCATTCACCACACACGATAAAATAAATCCATCCGGTGTGGGGGAGGGTGAAAAATTTGCGGAAAACACACTGTCCAGGAGCACGGGTTAAAAATGGCAAAAGCCAAAATCATGCTCTCCTCTTTTAAATCAAATTATTCAAATGTCACTGTTTAACAATCTATAATTAATCGACGAATGCAACTATCACGTATTACGAGCACGTATTTTTGTCAGCCACTTTCAGTCGATGCTTTTCAGTACCTCAGTCCATGGAGGTCGCCGAGAATCTGGCCGAGAGTTCTTCCACTTGCAATCTAATGCCATGAATGGCATCAATAAAGTCTTGGGAAAATTGGGCTCAAACACCGCATGTGTTGTTGTGTCTTTGAGGTGAGCAAGAATCCATTGCATAATCTCACCGTCTTGCAAGTTTAATGTTGAGTGCGAGAAAAAAAAACACCTTCAACTGCATCTCATTTTCCCCCACCCAGAGATGCTGAGAAAATTAATTTGCCGTAATTATACTTTTGAAGAACCCTTTGGCCATTCTATACTTCACGGAGCGAGTCCAATGGAAAATGCTCAAATGCAGTCAAACTTCACCAAAAGTGACACGGTTAGGAATCAAATAATCGAGTTTATGAGCTCGTCTCCTCACTTGAAGCGCAACTAAATGGACTGACCAATTAATTTATTTGTAATTTTACTGCCCAGGCCTCATGGTGTGCAATGTGGAGCGCTTGTGGGGCTCATTAGTATCCAAGTGATGCTTCCCGCCTCCACCAAAAAAACCAGAGCTCACCCATGTTGCTGCAGATTTAATTATAATGAAATTGCGTAAGTTGCTCGATATAAAATCTAATAATCGATGTCATGCTCAACTTCGGGCGAGAGTGTCAACAAGAAATTGGACGGGAGGTTGACTTTTCCGCAGGACAAACACACATCAAGCCAGTGAAGCAATTTGTTCTTATGACCATGAGAAATTTTGGGCTAAACGAAAATGTTACGGATAACTTTTCGAGTATGTTATCGTCATTTCAAGTTTACAATCTCACGTCGAGATTCAATTTTAGATCACAAATTTTGGGGCTGGAATTTGACGGCAGTGGAGAAGTTTCTGCATAAGAAATTAACATCGTTCTTTGAAAATGGTCCAGATTGTCTAAAAATACAATTAAAAAGTTGCTTGAGAGAAAACTATTAAGATTTTGTTGTTAATTGCTTATCGGAAATATTTTATATCACTCGAATGCGAACATTATTTTCAAATTAATACAAATTTCATGCTGATGAGGCAGAAAAACACACAGAAAAAAAATTACATCAAATACTTTGAGTTTATTCAAATTTGCCTAATTATAATAGGATTCTCCATCAGAATAGCATAAAACTGAGGTTTTAATGTGAAATTTCAAAGTGCATATCTTTGTCTAAACATATTCTGATAGTTGAAAACATTCTGGGTCTCACAGCAATAAAATTGAAGTTATTTATAGGCATGAAACTAAATGCATATCACTCTATTTCAAATACTGATAACATTTTATGTCCTCTTTATTTTCTATGTGACATTCTTAGTTACTGAAAGTTATTATCTACTTGTATATATTCCATTCGTGTCAGCTAAAAAATTCCGCATGATTTCTATTTCCACCAGGGTTAAAACTTGGCAATATGAGTGCTCTTCTGAGATATTTGAAATTGCAAAAGAATAATTGCCGAATACATAACTTACTTTCCTTGGGGGGCGTTTTATGAATGCGAAAATGTAATTGTTTGTGATTTCATCAGTAATTAAAATTAGCTGTGATTAATTTTGATGAAACATGACCACGACTTTCTCAAAACATCAACACCAAAAGTTTGAAGAGCGTCTTGTGCTGTTCACTTTGTTGTGTGTATTTTCTTCGGCAATTTCGCAGCACGTCGGAAGTGTGGCTCTCTTCCTGGACCCAAACACTGCGGGTTTCAGGAAATTCAAGTCGATCATCTGCCGCATCACGAGGCGTCATCGAGTGCGAGACGCTCGCATGCAGTGCACAAAATCGCTAAGATGCCAATGGAGTGATGCGTGAGGCCCCAAAGAAGGGCGGTCGCGAAGACAACGCGCCCAACTATTTCTGTCCCATGCCGACAATCACCATGTTCGGGCTAATTAAATTCGCGTGATCGCCACACAATTAAGACGAATTGTGCTCACCCAAGAACTCATTCACGAAGCCCTGGGATTGTCGCTCGCGAATCGTGCTATTTTTGCATCGCAAAACGCCTCACGTCAACCTTCATCGTCGTCGCGATGCAGACACACACCCTGCAGGCGCACACATGTGAATGTGAGAAGGAACCGTCGTGGTCTGAGGAAACAATTGCCAAATTAAGTCACAGACAAATTGGGAAAATTTCACACAAGGCGTCCACACCAAATTCAGATGCTGCGACGCGACGCCAGGAGGAAGCCGCACACTTGCGCACTGTCAACCGCCGGCATCCCAACATCTCACCTGAATTTTAATTGTTTCGTTACGTACATGACGATATCATGCAAATAAAATACCCAGAGAATGTGTGTCTGACATAAAATGCCGACGCGCGGGCTTTTATTATTCACGACAGAATCACAAAACGTAACAAAACAATTCTCTTTTCTCCTCTGCCATTATGTAATTACACCGCGGTGAATTTTTTTCGAGTGGTCAGGGCTCAAAAAACAACGCATTTTTATTCGGGTTGGTATTATTTATGACTTTATAGGGGTCAACATGGTTAAAAGGCGGTCTAAAGATGTGTTTTTCTTTTTGTTCCTAAAACATGCAAATTATAGCAATTTATATGGATGATATATTAAAAATTGCAATATATTTATGGCACATAATGAGAGTTTAATCACTCATGAATCAATCAAAATTGCAATCTTCAGCTCAGAAGCTAACCTTCACATTAAGATATCGGCTCTGACAAGGGGCAAAAGATTTTTTATAAAGACTGCCAATTGCAGCAACATCGCAGAATTACGTCGAGACTCTCTTTCTAAGTCACTCAAGCCCAAGCAATAAATAATCATAACGAAATAAGCATGAAAAGACTTTCATTTCGAAGATGCGTCAAGTCATATTTCACTGACACCTCAGACGATTGCGAACTAATCAAAAACACTTTCATCGTCCCAAGTCTTGTGACACTGACCAGCAGATGGGTTTCTCGCCAGAGTCGTCAAGTGGGTCATAAGTGGATTAAAACATTATCACTTTCTTCCAAGTGACAAAAAGAGATTTTTTCACTGATAAATCACACGCATTCAGCATAACTTTCGGCACATCTTTGCGTTATGAGTCTCAAAGAAGAAATTGCATGCCATGACCTTAAACTTTCCGTTCAAATATTTGACTCACTCATTAGAGGCAATTAGATCGATTTGACTGTGCCTGATATTTGAGCACTCGGAAGATGCTCATCATTGTCTGCTCCAACTTCTTTCACTCCATCGTAATTGCAGCTTAATTGTCACTCCGCAAAGTTTTCACACCTTTACAGCTTGCATCACGTGCGTTGGAGATTTTGTATGAGACTCTGGATGGTGCTCAGCAGCTTTTAAAGAGGGTGACAAGAAGGAGCGAACAAGGTTGCGGAATTTGTAATTAGAGTGAAGAACATGTTTGACAATACAGTCAATATTGACTGAGAGTTGTTAACATTTTTCTTCCGCCCACACTCACACTTTTCACAGACGTGAATTGGCAGGAGTTCAGAAAACTTTCACGCCTTGTCTCGCACTTTAATTTTCTTCCGCCCCCTTTCATTATTTTTGCCAAGAACAATTCTACAAGAGGATGGTTTTAAAGATTTTCCTATTTGTACAATGTTCTGCTGACAAGAAGAAGAGTAAAATTGAAAAATTCTTGGTTCCGATCATAAAGATAAGACGTGAGAAATGACAAAGCGAATAAAACTACGAAAACAACCAAACAGATCTTGAAAGATAGGTGGAACCAAATACAAGAAGAATCAAATGTTCACGGTAGTTACAGACCACGTCGTATAAATTTTTCAGATCAATAAACCATGTGAAGAAATGCTGTGAACAATTTTTATTTTAAGTTTTCTCATAACATTAAGAAATTGGTTAAGCAAAAGAAAACTGCATTGTTTTGTCGTATCGATTGGGCTTCAGATAGTTTAATAGTATCCAACGAGGCCAGTGTATCCAGTGTAACCATTGTAAAGGCCATATCCACTGAGTCCATATGTGGTATAGGGATAAGTGTAGTAGCAATATGGGTTGTAGAGTCCGTAGGAACCATAACCAGTGTAGCCGCCATAATATCCAACAACTCCATTGGTGACAACCTGTGCCTCGGTGAAGGCAGAGGTCATGGCTGGCGATGCATTGAAAAATCAGTTGGTATTCAATGGGGATTAAGCCAAGGAAACTCACCCACGACGACGAGGAGAGCGAAGACGACAAACTTCATGATTTTGAGTTGCTGGTTTAGCTTCAGTTGACTGATCGAACTGATATAGTCACTGCATGAAATCGCAATGGTATTTATACCAAAGGAGAAGTCATGTTCCTTGCCTAGTTACTTACTACAAGTGATCGTGATGTTGTTGCCTACCAGACTTGTTTCCAAGCAGATTCCATGGTTTTTATTTATACCGTCTCCAAATGCGCCGTGAGCGTGCAATTTTAGTGCACCCAGAGCGAAATTATGCAAAGACCAATCAATTCTCGAAATACCCTCACTAAAACCATAACTACATACCTACGATGCAAGGCATCCGTCTGTAGGGGAATGCCTCGGCTTGGAGGATTCACCCTCTTGGCACGAGATCCACATTCGAGTGTTATTATGAATAATAAAATGGGCCTGTACAATTAATAGCGCAGAAAGTTCAAATGGGCACGGGGATTTGCCGCTTGGGGTGGAATCGAAAAAGTAAACAAAGGCACATTAAAATTTATATATGAGAGCGCGCCCGAGGGATGAGTGAGTTATTGTCATGCGGCAAAGGCCACCCTCTGGGCGCCCCTTCGCAACAGCAAATATTTGAATCATTTGAGGCGGCCCCGAGAAATTCCTGCACAAGCGATGAAAATGGATTTAACTTTCACTGATTCTGGGGTTGCACAGCCCTCAATTGTGATTTTCACCACTGTGCGTCTGCAGGGGGTTGGTGCACGGCAATTGCCCTGTGATTTCACTTGAGGACTGTCGCATTTTGGACAATTCAAAGCCCACCCCCCAGAGTCATGATCACTCGCGGCCGATCGTGTGGGTGCATGTGAAATGCCACACACTGTGATGGGGAATTTTGGCGAAATTGGAGGCAAATTTATCGCCGTGACTGTGTCAGTCGCCACCCCCGGTGGATACAATCACGAGCGGTTATACTTTATGGCGTGGCATTTAATTAACATGCACAACAGTCGAATGGCCATGGCTGCAAGATGATATGTGAGATTTCGGCGCAGGAGAACGCACTGCGAGGGTGCACCTCCCGAGGGGTGGCGAATGGTAATCACCCCGCAGTTTTGGGTAGAACAGCGCGAGCTTTAGCCGTATCCCTCAATTCGAGGGGGCCACAAGGAAATACTCCCTGAAGTTACGGGGTTTACAAAGAACAAGGGGGTGTGCATTGGCATTGCTGGATCGGATTTTGCGCTATTTCAATGTCAGGAAGATTAACAAAATAAATCCTGGTCAGTTTGCAGCTGTCATCCAATTCTAATTGAACCGTGGATATGACTTTCCTATGTGTTTATGAGACAGAATAAATTATAGTATTTCACTAATCAGCGAATGTTGTAGAATTGTTTTGATTCTCTCGTCGCCGGATGATTTTCATCCAGCTCAGACGCCCCATTTGATATATATATCTCTTCCAATTATTGGTATTTTCAACTTCACTTTTGAAACTGTGACTGTGAGATGTGTTCTGGATTTTACACAAGGCCGGATTTGATGAAATTTAGTGGATGAAGTGGCGGAAGAGCTAGAAAACTGTGAAGAATTCGTGTCTGATGGTGTTGGCAAAATATTCACAGAGACCGACTTCCTGTTGGCAATAACTTCCTCTGAGCACCGGATATTCACTTTCACTCTGGCCCTCTTCGCTCTCACCCCCCAAGAAGGGGTGACACACGGGGTGTGGCGGAGATTTCAGTGAGGTCGCTCTCTGCGTCTCGTGAGGACAATAGAAAATTATTTAGCATAAAGATTCGTCCGTGGGGAGCAATTTAGGAGGATTTAGAGCATAATTCTACTCCCTCACGAAAGTGCAGCTCTCTCAAGATGCCGGGAGAGATTTCATTAATTTGTTTTTTGGCCGTTCAACTGTACCGAAACCACCCAGTCGCGAAGAGGGTAAGATTCGGAGGAGACATAATGAGAAAGAGTGAATGATGAATTATGTGTTTTGTAATAATCCAATTTAGCGCTGGAGAGAGACGCAATTCCGCACTCCAGATGCATTAACTCTCGGGCAAGGAACAGGGTGTGGGTGGAAAGTCAAGTCACCCCACGTCTCGGTGCCGGATATGAAAGTACTAATGACTTCAATTCTAATCATTTACAATTTAAATTCAAAAGGAGATGCGCGATGAGCAGCCAAGAAGCAGGAATCCTCCACTTTATTCATCTTCCTGGCATGGTAAGGAGATTGCGGGGATGCGGGAAAAACTTCAAGATGCAATCAAGTGCCAGTGCAGGAGTGGGTGTTCCCTTGTAATATTCCTTGAGTATGACGTGCAAAGGGGAAGAAGTTGACGATGGGAGGCATAAATTAGAGATTGTGGAGATTGTAAGCAACGCATTATGTCTCACAATGATGAAATTAAATTAAACTGCAAGATTAAATTAATTTTTATTGTCACGCTCCTTCGCTGCCCCGTATTGTGGTCCTTTTTCAAAATTATCTTGAGCAGCATCAGAGGCAATGTTCCCAGAAGATGAATAGGCACAGAGATTTAGGATTGAAGACAGATGTTGAAAGAGTTCCATATTTTGTAGGATCTTCAAATGGGTTTGCGTCTCAAATATTCACAGATTTCAAGATAATAATTTCTTGATCTTTAATACATATGATATGGATTCCTTAAGCTACACTATTAGGTACAAGCTTCAATTGAAACATTCATCCTATTGACATGATCCTCTGTCGATATGATATCTAACGGCGCCATCTCGTGTCAAGAAGTCAATATGTGAACATCGCTCTAAATATTATTTATAACGTGCAAAATAGATCAGACCGAACCATTCGTTCCACTAAATTTGCCGTAATATAAATCGCATTTTGGATGTCTGCTTATCCGTTGCGGGGTGGCTTCTCCGGTGAATAAATATTCCGCACTTGCTGCTCTCTCTCCGCCATAAATGGCAGTTGTACTTTTTCACTTGATGCATCCCTGGGATGGGCCAGGGATTGCATTTTACAAGCGCCTGGTGTTTCCGCACGAACGAGAAGAGTGTTCCGCACAATAAACTGATTGGTGATTTACACTGTCTCACCCCAGAGCGAAAGCTCGCTGGCAGCGAAAGCTTCCCCCGTGCGCCAAACACCTCTCATATTCATGTCGACTGTACAACATAATTTATGAAAATAAATTCCCGATACATGATTTATGGAATATTGAATTTGCTCCGACATCGCGTGCATTCGAGACGCTCTTCAATCCTCCTTGTTTTCTGTTCACACTTTGCGCGTATATTCGGGAAATTATGGGGGAATTCTGGCCGAAGAGTTTCCCTGAATGACAAGTGCATATCGTGAAATGCAGCAAATTTAACTTGATATTACACAACTGAAATCATCCAAAATGCAAAATATGCACACCAAGTGAAGAACATCTCGAGTGTGTCTTCTCCACACTAAAGAAGGGGAAATGAGACTCTTAATTAAGGGATGTTCATGCAAATGGGAGCGCTAATGACGCGAATTAACATAAAACCAAGTAATTCTATAAATGGGTTGTCTGTGTCTCTAGCATACAGATGGAGGAATTTATTCTTCAACCCAATTCCACTCTGATTTCACCTCCGCCACACGAAAATCTTGTACAAATCGGTCGACATGATGAATGGCATCAAGAGCAGATGCACTTCCGGGGAGCCCTTCTCGACATTCCGCACGCCTTTTTCCTCAGCTCACCTCCGCCCATGTCGTTTAATTAATGCCATCGTGCTTCATCTGCAAATGCTAATACTCCACCACCAATGTGGAGGAGCGCTAAATTGTAGCCGAGGAGGAGCTCTCCTGTGTGCGGCTCAAGAGGGACTCAAATAAATTCTCCCTCCGGTGAATATCAATTTCATAAATGGATACTCCATAGCGTGTGTCAACCTCATGTCATTCTTCTGTGCACTTGATTTATGACTCCTCTCAGCCAACATCTTCCTTTTCCACCTCAATATTTCACTTGATATTCCATGCATTACATTCCTGTGCTGAGGGTTTGTCATTCTTTTTTCTCCATTCAATGATTTTTGTCCGCTTTTCAGCATTGACAAAAGATCCACCCTTTGCTTTTCGAGGCTTTTCATCATTTCACGGATTTAAAATGAAATTTTTTTTTCCTGAAAATATATATATGCCTCTTCAAAGTCATACATAAATATGAGCTAACCAAAACATAGTTGTTTTTATTGCTCCACCCAGTGAAATGCTCCGCCCACTTGCAGTGTAAACTTTAGTTAACTTTCTGCACCAATGCTTATAAAATCTGTATAGTTTTATTTCTCAAGCCAATTAGAGAACAAGCTTAAACAACCCAGAGAAGATATACCATTTATCATTTTCATGACTCTCATCCTCTCAAGTGCACTTTTCCACACTAAAAACAAACCTCTTTGAGGATGCTTTTTGCACTTCAATGCTGCAAAATGCCTCAAATATTATTGCAGTGAATGAGGAAATTAATGCTGGGTGCATTTATGGTGGGAAAATGTTGATGGAGAATTTTCGCGATGGATTCCCCCACCTAAGCTCAACTGCAATTTCCTCTGCCAAAACTACCAGAAATGCTGCATCTTCAAAAACACTATTAATGCCTTAATTGAGCAACTTTTTCATGTGTCTCATGAATTTCACGCTGAAGGAAAACTACCCCCATTTCCTCTCCCGATGGGCGAAAATTTCTCAAGTGACAAAATTGTGCCACTCCTCATCCGAAAAACTGACACGAGCCCCAAATGGCAAAAGTTAAAGTGTCTCAAGGGAGGAGCATTAAATGCCATGACTCCTTTTGTCATGCCCCCAAACCCAGTAGACACACTACAATGAAAATATTTACAATTTATGGCAGTTTCTGCTGCGAAAGTAATCACTTGCCTTTTCAAACAAGGTGGCGAGAGAGCACTCAAGTACAATAGAGAGTGGCAAGTGAATGAAAACTACGAGAGAATTCAGCCCTATCCTTAAGGAGGAAATGTGTGTTGAAGGATTCAACCATCTACCATTAATTTTCATATTTAATCTCTTTTCAGACAATATGACGTATTATTATCGCCTTGCTCTGCTCTGGAACTTTTAAGCATCCGCCGAGACTTCCTTATGAGCACATCCCTGTGATATATATCATTTACAGGAGGTGTAATCATTACAGAACATTCCATTCTAGTCACTCGCTCTCTCCTCATGCACTTTCAATTCCTCGCTTGAGGAATATTCCGAGGTAGTGGCGCAATTTCACTGCGATGGTACATTAAGAAGATTTTAAGGAAATATCATAATTTTCATAAAATATCCCTACAGTCAGATCAAATAAAGAAAATGTGCAATTTTACACTTTGAAGTACTTTCAAATTGAATGCGTGAAATTGTCCACCCTTTCTGTGAGATCACTTTTACCTTGTCTCTCTGGCAATAACCGATACTGCAGTGCAATTTTTCCATGAAGATCATTTGCGGGGTAATAGGGAAAATTTTATGAAGCTCGCAATTGCACGTTTAATATCTTCTCAGACATCTGTTTTTCTGCATCGTTAAATTTCTGCATACTGGCGACACTGCCGAGTCACTCAAGAAAATTGCCCCTGAAATTCGTATTGGGCAAAGGCATTTTACGACCACGGCGCAGAGCTTCCTCCTGATAACACTGATTAGCACTTGCTGACGAGATTTTCATTAATTCACTCTATGTGGATTACGAGAGATTTCCACTGGTCATGCCTCATCCTCTGACCTCAGTTCCTTTCGCTCTCTCTCTCTCTCTCTAAATTCAGCTCGAGCCTCGTGGCGAGGAAAGAAGTGGAAAGTATGGGGGCTAAAAAAAGTTACAAGACGATAAATTGCTGCGATAATCGTGGTTTTATGGTCTAGTCAAGTGTATTTGGCCAGATAAAAAGTTAATGCAAGAAGTTCTCGCCCGATGTCGGGTTGGAATGAAAAATTGTGAAATTTTTTCTCCGCCATTGCGCATTTTCAATCGCCATGAGGAGGAAAAGCGCGAAATTTCTCCCTCTTCCCCCCCATTGCAATATGGGCAATAAATGTCTCTCTCTCTCCCCCGGACAGATGATTGCAAGAATGTTTTTTTTTTCGCCCATCCGCACATTGTTGTCTTGAAGCATCCACTTATACATCTGGCTCGAGTTGCATGCCCGCGAAAGAGATAAATTGATATCAATGGCGAGAGGAGACTTATGTTGATAAATCACACTGAAATAGCTCGCATCACAACACTTGCAAATTACTCTTTTCTTCGCACCATTCTTCCCAATCATTGGTGCACACAATGCAAAATTACCCCCACAAGCGCGACATTATTTATTCGAGGAGCTCCTCTTCACACATCTGAATGGCAGACTCAACGTCTTTTTCGGTAGCAATTTCAGGTGATACACACACTATACTCTCCTCTTTTGGGGGAAAATACAGCGAGCAGTTGTTAATTTTGACGAGATTCCGTCTCGTGTGAAAATAGCAAAATGAATGCGTCTCTAGAGCTGTCGTCCATAAATCCTGCCAGAAGCACCGCGCGTCATCCAGATGTTCTCATTAATATTCCGCACGCTTTTCTCACGCACTCAACGCAAAACGCTTTAAGTGATTAGCTGTCATAATTGTTATTAGGCCAGGAGACCATCTTGCTGATTTGAACATCATTTGCCCGCTTAAAGAGCCGCTGAGTGAGGATGTTCTTCAGGAGTTCTTCCTGCTCTTCTTGGCTGTTGTTCAGCTCCGCGCAATGCCAATTGTGTCAGCGACACACAGACAAATTATGCATGAAATCTACAAAGATTTTAATAATACACTTGATGATAACTTCGATGAAGCTATATGTTTTAAAATCATAAGTATAGATTTTTGAAAGTTGGACTAATATAGATCTAGTCCAGACAGTTTAAACAAATTTCTAAGTCCCTGTCATTACACACATTTTTAGTCTACCTTTGCGATCTACACCTAGTTCAATCTAATGCTTCTTCCTGGGTCTCCTGATACCTTTTCCCAAGATACTGCGCACACAGATTTGTTCATTCTGCGTCAGAAGGAGCCAGTCCGAACATTAATGCAGCGTCAAGAAGGATTTCTCACTCTGTGCTCTCCTCCACCTTGACTTGCTCGCCATGGAAATCAATTGGCAGTGATCATGAGACTGATGGGACGTGCACACAGTGGTGGCTAAGTGGGGGGGCACCCCAAGAGTGCAATTGATTAGGAATCTGCGAGTGTGAGTAGTTGTATGGGGAAAATGGTATTTTAAGTGGCACAACACTTAAGATCGCGAAAGAGACAGCGATAAAACAGTCACACAGAGTTAGGAAGATTAATGTGCATCTGTGGCTTGGGCGCTCGCCCGCCCCCCGGCTCGTCCCCAGCCCTCGGCCAGACGCTCTTCTGGGTGGTGGTGCCTGTGCTGGCCCTATATGGGTTCACCGCAATTGTCTGTAGTTGTCTGAATGCGCGAGGTTGCTCTTCGCGATGGTGTGCATCCATTACAATAAAAACGCGCTACAGTGGCATCGATTCGATCCTTGTAAGGATCGTTTCTATTTCGAGCATACAAAAGCACTTTGCTGTAGTATAAAAGTCGAAGTGTATTCGGCACATTGTCTCACTCGCCGCAACATTCGTGCCATCGACAGGCAGATTTCATTGTTCATAAGTGTCTTTGAGGTTGGTTAGCAAATCATCTGGATTTCATAGATTCATAAAGAAAAAAAAATATATATCCCGTGCTCACAAAAGTGATTTCTGTGCCTTTCTCTTCTGAGTGACTTCTTTGGATTATCTGTGGCTTATTGAAGTGGAAATTATGTGAAGATTTTCCAACCCTTGCGTTTTCGGGCGAGGTTGACAATTCGCCCTCTCGAAGGAAATTGGCAACAAAATAAATAGTGTGCATAATGAAAATGTTGTCGATCCCCAATTACAATTATTTATATGCGCCCACCACCCTTCGCAAGAGGGTTGGGGGAGGCTCATTTCCTCACCCTCACCAGGAGGGGACACATTTCCAGATCCCATAAACACATTTGTAATGATGATTTATGGTTATTCGGGTAATTTTGTTTTGTGTGTTCCATTTGATTCCACTTTAATCAAACGTGTACGTAGGGAAGCCCATCATTGGGCTGGGGTGGCACGCCAACAAGTCAAAGTCGAGTCCCCAAGACTCCTCAGGAATCCAGCGAAAACATCCAATCGTGGGGTGGAATTCCACCGCGAAGAGCCTTCATTGTTTGGCAAGAAAGTCTCCCCCAAATTGGCATTCACTGTGCACAAATGTGTGATAGATAATAAGATGTGACAGTAAATAATTACTTATTCCAGCCGCACACGAGTTTCTGGGGAAATAATTAGGGAATTATAATGTTGGCACTGAAATCCATGTGTCTCTTATTTTAAGAGACAATCCTCACTAAAATCCCGAAAGGCATTCCATTGAAGACGTTAACCGACCAATTTTGCAATGGTCTCATTTCAGAAAAGGCTAAAGCCACTCAGTCAAGATGTGTGATGAGGATGCGGGAGCACTTGTGATTGACAATGGATCGGGAATGTGCAAGGCCGGGTTCGCCGGCGACGACGCGCCGCGCGCCGTGTTCCCGTCCATCGTGGGCCGGCCGCGCCACCAGGGCGTGATGGTGGGCATGGGGCAGAAGGACTCGTACGTGGGCGACGAGGCGCAGAGCAAGCGCGGCATCCTCACGCTCAAGTACCCCATCGAGCACGGCATCATCACGAACTGGGACGACATGGAGAAGATCTGGCACCACACCTTCTACAACGAGCTGCGCGTGGCGCCCGAGGAGCACCCCGTGCTGCTCACGGAGGCGCCGCTCAACCCCAAGGCCAACCGCGAGAAGATGACGCAGATCATGTTCGAGACCTTCAACTCGCCGGCCATGTACGTGGCCATCCAGGCCGTGCTGTCGCTGTACGCCTCCGGCCGTACCACGGGCATCGTGCTGGACTCCGGCGACGGCGTGTCGCACACCGTGCCCATCTATGAGGGCTACGCGCTGCCGCACGCCATCCTGCGTCTGGATCTGGCCGGCCGCGACCTCACCGACTACCTCATGAAGATCCTCACGGAGCGCGGCTACTCCTTCACCACCACCGCCGAGCGCGAGATCGTGCGCGACATCAAGGAGAAGCTCTGCTACGTGGCGCTCGACTTCGAGCAGGAGATGGCCACGGCGGCCGCCTCCACGTCGCTGGAGAAGTCCTACGAGCTGCCCGACGGCCAGGTCATCACCATCGGCAACGAGCGCTTCCGCTGCCCCGAGGCCCTCTTCCAGCCGTCCTTCCTGGGCATGGAGTCCTGCGGCATCCACGAGACCGTCTACAACTCCATCATGAAGTGCGACGTGGACATCCGCAAGGACCTCTACGCCAACACTGTGCTCTCCGGCGGCACCACCATGTACCCAGGTGAGCACTGCCTTCCTGAGAATCTCTTTCATCAGCGTATTCAATTGATTAAATTCTTCTCTTCTTCCAGGTATTGCTGACAGGATGCAGAAGGAGATTACTTCTCTGGCTCCATCAACCATCAAGATCAAGATCATCGCTCCTCCTGAGAGGAAATACTCTGTCTGGATCGGCGGCTCCATCCTTGCCTCTCTGTCCACCTTCCAGCAGATGTGGATCTCAAAGCAGGAGTACGACGAGTCCGGCCCCGGAATCGTCCACCGCAAGTGCTTCTAAGCGGACACACCACAGCTACCAACCAAAGAAACATCATCGCATCGGAGGAAGTTGGTCTTCCTCAACATCAAAGGGCAAAAGACGAGCGGATTTCTTCAAAAATATCTCACAAACTCTTCACTCATCTTATGATTTCTTTAAGTTTCTCTTTCACTCTTTACCACCACCAGAGATCGCCAGACTCTTTGCCGGACAATGCTTGAGCATTGTCCGGTAAAATTTGTGCGATTCAGTGTAACATCAGCACATGGAAAAAAGGATCAAATCCACGATTGATTTGATATTTTTGTTAATAAAATGGCTTTTTTTTTGTAAAAACGCATGTGATTTCGAAATAAAGAGGAAATTTCTTATGCATAGTCGTCCCGGAAGTGCTGATAGAAGAGCTCTTTTGATTACCACTCAATTGTTTGCGTTGCGGTTTGTTTTTCCTTTTTGGAAGCGGAATTTAATTATCTACACCCGTTGTTGATCAATGAGTGTGACAACAAAGCATTGGGCAAAGAGCTCAATAAATAATTCACTCTTGCACCTAATTATGTGATTTAAATGGAATTGTTTTATTTCTACCTCAGCGGTTAATCTCGGTTTTAGCATTCACACACATCAACCCCATCAAATAGTCCACAGGAAAATTAATATTTATATACTGGGGGAGTGAAATTTAATTAGAAATTTATCACTGCTGCACCATAATTGTTGCATCCCAATTTCCAAATTACACCATTAACTCAAACATAAAAGACACCATAAAAATCCACTTTTCCCCATCATTCGTCAATTCTCAACACCCAATTGAGTACACATAATTATGAATATTGAAAAATGTGGCAAAAGTGGAGAGTCAGCATTTCATGAAAATTGGCATACGACCAGGATATTGTCAACAAATTACTTCCATATGTATTTGCAATGCAATTTTCTGTCTGATACGACAGAAATTATAATTAATGCGATATTTGCACTCACTGTGAGGTCTTTTACTCTATTTTAGGATCATGAGATGAAAGATGGGGGGCGCATGATGAATTTAGAGCTGGCAAAAAGACCATAAATCGGTTGTTCTTGCGGGCAATGAGTCCATTCATCAAGTGTGCACAAGTTGCAGAGAAGCGAGCGAAGAGATGCAGTGTGAAATTGCATTTTGTTAAAGGAGCATTTTCAAACATTTCTCTACAAATGTCCTAAGAAAAACTACGAATCATTTGTGAAAAAAAAATGCATTTGAAGTGTCTGATTATAGTTATGATCGTTAGGATTTGAATTAGATGACTTAAAGCCTGTATTAAATAAATTCAGAATGTCTGGAAGAAATCACATTGCAGTTTAATTACTACTAAACCCCTGACAAAGCGGTACTGAAAAGTGTAATTTTGCAATTCTTGTACAACTTTTGAATGCTCACGATATAAACTATATATTCCATGTTATCCTATCAGGATCAGGAAAATCCGCTCGTGCGTCCAAGACGGAGGAAATTGAGGTGAAAAGCTGGCGGCATTTTCGATTGTTGGGAAAACTTTCTTGTTTTGCAGCAACAATTTGTCAAGCTCTCAACTTGTGTATTTGGCCAAAAACGTGATCGTGTTTATGTTCCCGAACTTCACACTGAGACTTTGCGCAATGACTCGAGGAAAAACTCAATCTCATGAGATTTGTGGCGACAATTCCGAATATACAGAGAGAAATTAAACTTTATGTGCGGAAAACCCTGCGGTCAGATTCCCATACACAACTTATTGTAAATTCTCCGCACTCTTCCTCAAAAGCAAAAGTTCATGGAAGGCTTGGTTGACCATCGAACTTCACTTTTGCCCACAATCAATTGAATTAGATTGTCTTCCTCACATGAAAACCCATCAAAGAACTCTCACTATCACTCCTCTGTCCATGTCGACGATGAGGTGATTGAGATATGCCTTGTTGGAGCTTTAAGGCATGTTGAAAATGATTCACAAAGTGTGTAAAATGTTTGTGTGCACTTTTCCTCTGGCTAAAATAACACCAGGGTAAAACATCCCATGAAGAGGAGGACTTCAGGAGGAAAATACACGGAAATGGTCCGTGAAAGTTGAAGCTTTTCGCACCACAAGAGCTCCTCCACGATGAATGGAGAGTGCAAAGGGGCGCCCCAGCATGGAAATTCATCCTGGCAATTTTTTCCGCTCGAGTGGTCTAACGTACGGACGCTGACCGTGGCGATGGGAAGACCCTTGTGAGTTGCATATTCAAAAAGTTTTGAGCTTTCACGGACAGTCAATTTATGAGTCATCTTTGCATATTCCCCATATATTCACCGTCCATTTCAAGTCCCTCCAGACTTGCGAGTACCCACTTGAAAATTCCACCCCTGCCGCCCGGGCACAAGTATCCCATCGGCCGCGAACGTGACCAAACTATAAAGTGTAATTAAGTTCGGAAAAAAGGATTACTCCTGCCGCCACGGCATTTAAACAGTTCCTGTAGAGACAGGACGAAGTGACGCGCCTAATTAGACACTCTTCACCCCGGAAGTTTGCCACACACACACACTCAGAGACTCACCCAGTGTCATCCTGGCCGAGGATTCTCACTCCCGAGCACTCTCGCGGACCTCCGCATTGCCTTAATAGCCAATGGTCGGTGGATGAGGCGCAACTGGGAGGCCCAACATTTGTCACATCTCGTGATCTTTTCATCTGGGGAATATGGGCGGGGGGTGGCGGGCGGACCCAGGCAGCTGCCTCTGCAACTTCTTAATCGCCTCGCGACTCATCATAAAATTAACACAATGCAAATATTCGAGAAATTTATCAACAGGAAGACACCAAAATCCCGCCTCACCCAGAGAAATTCATCATATAAGAGACGTGTAATGAAAAGTTGAGGGTATTTCGATGTGCTTTTCACAAGTTTTCAACCACTTTGCATTTAATTCATGCACAGAAGAATTATTTATGGGTTACAACATATCAGGGCGCTTATATGAAGTAGAACTGTTAAGAACCAGAGCTTGGAAGGGATTTTTCAATGCAAAAGCCAAAGAATTTCCTTTCCTACATTTACATGGGTCCTCGAACCCGATTAAAAATCAACAAACATTGACTAATAGCGATTGTAGGCTAGGAAATTACTTACTTAAGTTGCAAAAACACCTTTGAAAAATGCTTTTTCCCTAAACCAGAGATATTCCAGACAACTATCTTGTCCACTGAAGTATTTATTTTAGTTGCAACGTTTAGTAGCAATCACATGAGTGCTCTTTTTTTTAAATTCTCCTCTGAAATGCTTAATTTTTTCTTTCTCTTTATTATGTAGTGTAAATATATAATCCTAATGATTAGATTAGACAAACATTGCTTTAAATTTCACTGAAATTTCCAAGAGCACAAGATAATCTTCAGAATCTCCCTGTAGGCAATTAGAGATTTTCAACTATTTTAATAAACGCTTTTTCCTGCGCCACGCCACTTCAGTCGTCCCCTCGCCCTATCGCAATGAATCAAGAGCAATTATGCGAGTGCAGAGACGCACTCATCATCTCAAGATGATGTACCACCTCTTCGGAAGAGGGTGGCCACATTGGCAGCGGCCAGAGTGCCATGAGCCAGCCAGACAAATGCCACTTCGCGGGCAGCCTGAAGCCAGCTCTGGGCAAAGGGGCGTCCCTTGGGCAACCTCTTCCAGGTCATCCTTAAAAGGCCTGCCACCGAACGGCGAGATCGCGCCCTGACGCGACCATCTATGGATGGCGTCGTCTATTTTCGCCATCGCGACGAAATATATAAAACAGGCCACAACTGCACTCTTGCACTCACTTGCTTTTGGGATATTTGTCCGTTATTATAGCTGCAATCTCGTGAAAATTTCACGCGCTTCCCGTCGGATTATCTCGTCAAATACACTGTAAGTGATCGATGATCGAGTGAAGTGGAGCGCCGATTATATTGATTGGGAAAAATATTTTTTTAAAAAAAAGTTCCTTGTGAATACTTAATGAGCAGATAATTACTTTTATTGGCAATTTTAAAGAGTGCGAACAATGAATTTGTTAAAAATCTAATTTTGGACAAAAAAAATATTCAACTTTCAATTAAATTCTAGTGAAAAGATCTTTCAGGATTTTTAAAATTAAAAAAAAAGCAATCAACGAATTCTCTCATATCCAGCAGGTGAACAAAGTGAAGAGTCGAGATGTGTGACGAAGAAGCTGCTGCCCTTGTCGTGGATAATGGATCGGGAATGTGCAAGGCTGGGTTCGCCGGCGACGACGCGCCGCGCGCCGTGTTCCCGTCCATCGTGGGCCGGCCGCGCCACCAGGGCGTGATGGTGGGCATGGGGCAGAAGGACTCGTACGTGGGTGACGAGGCGCAGAGCAAGCGCGGCATCCTCACGCTCAAGTACCCCATCGAGCACGGCATCATCACGAACTGGGACGACATGGAGAAGATCTGGCACCACACCTTTTACAACGAGCTGCGCGTGGCGCCCGAGGAGCACCCCGTGTTGCTCACGGAGGCGCCGCTCAACCCCAAGGCCAACCGCGAGAAGATGACGCAGATCATGTTCGAGACCTTCAACTCGCCGGCCATGTACGTGGCCATCCAGGCCGTGCTGTCGCTGTACGCCTCCGGCCGTACCACGGGCATCGTGCTGGACTCCGGCGACGGCGTGTCGCACACCGTGCCCATCTATGAGGGCTACGCGCTGCCGCACGCCATCCTGCGTCTGGATCTGGCCGGCCGCGACCTCACCGACTACCTCATGAAGATCCTCACGGAGCGCGGCTACTCCTTCACCACCACCGCCGAGCGCGAGATCGTGCGCGACATCAAGGAGAAGCTCTGCTACGTGGCGCTCGACTTCGAGCAGGAGATGGCCACGGCGGCCGCCTCCACGTCGCTGGAGAAGTCCTACGAGCTGCCCGACGGCCAGGTCATCACCATCGGCAACGAGCGCTTCCGCTGCCCCGAGGCCCTCTTCCAGCCGTCCTTCCTGGGCATGGAGTCCTGCGGCATCCACGAGACCGTCTACAACTCCATCATGAAGTGCGACGTGGACATCCGCAAGGACCTCTACGCCAACACTGTGCTCTCCGGCGGCACCACCATGTACCCAGGTGAGCACTGCCTTCCTGAGGAGTTCCGAAGTGGTTCTGATCGATTCCTCTTCTTCCAGGTATTGCTGACAGGATGCAAAAGGAAATCACCGCTCTTGCGCCTTCAACCATCAAGATCAAGATCATCGCTCCTCCTGAGAGGAAGTATTCCGTCTGGATCGGCGGCTCCATCCTGGCCTCTCTGTCCACCTTCCAGCAGATGTGGATCTCGAAGCAGGAGTACGACGAGTCCGGCCCCGGAATCGTCCACCGCAAATGCTTCTAAAGAACCCTTGAAACTCTCGATCTCAGTATTAAGGATGTGAAAGAGCAACTGAAGACAATATCTCAGATCATGTAATTGGGAATTACAGCATTCTCAGAAACTCTCTATGCTTTCTTGATCCCTTGGCGCTCGGAATCCTTTGAATTTGGTATAAAACCAGTCGGCGAAGTTCAATCTTAGTTTTAGAGGTCGAATGGCGTCCAAGTCTCGTCGTTCCAGGACCGAGAGAGATTGTCTGGATTGTCGGGAAGAGGGAAATCACAGTCAACATTCAGTATTTAGTTAAGGTACTCACTCAGGAGGCTTGACATCTGTGGTCACCAGCAGCAAATCGAGGCAGTAAATGCAATGCAGCAGGAAGATCAAGGATGTCGTGAGAGCCAATAAACTCTGCATGCGACTGAACCGGAAGTAGTCATGCCAAGTCTCTTCGGCGTCTGTGAGGAAGAGCAAATGAATGTCCTTCTCAGCATTCGCCATCGACACGATCGCCGAGGCGATGAACAGGATGAAGAAGAAGCCAGTCAAGATGACTTCCGACACCATCGTAATCTCATTGCGAATGAGAATACTTATTGCCCCGATCAGTGACACAAGCAGAGCGCCAAAGAATGTTCCACAGAAGATGAACTGGTGAGGTTGAGGCTCGTGCTTGTAGAGGAAGCCCAAGATGTGAATCACCAAACAAGTGAGACACAAAACCTGTAAAGGAACCCAAGGAAAACCATGATTTGGAGCTTCCTGAGTGTTTATTCTTCTCATCACTTTTGACTTACGGCCTCGACGAATTTGATCAAGAACCAAATCTTTATCATTGTAAGGATTGTGGGTAATTCAGACGGATTTTGTTTATTTCAATGTCACTTCAATTTCAGCGAGAAAAGAAAGTATAAAGAAAATAATAATTTCAGTCAAAGAGAGCGTGGCGAATGGCGCCGCCGGGAAGAGGCATGGCGGAAGTCCTGGATGACAAATTGGTCGTGTCTTGGGGTTCTGGTTCCTCCTGTAGTGCCCGAATGAGGCTCTTGAGATCCACTTGGGGCTTCGAATCGGACTCATCCGCTTCTTCGTCCGCCTCCAGGATGGGAGTCTGCATGCTGCGGTGCTTCTTCACCGGCACGTCCACAATCTTCAGCTCCTGAATCACTTGATTGTGGCTCTTCACCTCATCAGCTCCGCTCTCCACAGCCATGAGTCGTTCGTTCTGCTCACACCAGTTGCTCACCTTCGCTTTCACGTTGCGTCGGTGATACCGCGAGATCCTCGTCAGCTCCTTCTTCTCTTCTGAGCTCCACGAGCCATAGAAAGTCCCATATTCATCCTCTGGCTCGACAATCTTCTCGGTCGTCACGTAATTGGGTCGCTGAGAAACTGTGCTGAGGCCAAAATTCACGGCGTTGCGATCATTGTCGTGCCACCGTTCGAATTTTGTGGTGCCCAAATTCACGAGATCATTCACAAAATCATCAGACGCGAGAGCGAAATTCTCCTGCATCAGCACACTTGCCACATCCACGTCCTGCAGCGAGAGCGTCGTGAGCTGCAGCTGGCCAAAGATCTGGCCATTGGGCCTCTTCATCTCCGGCTGGAAGTGCACAGCGTGACAAGAGTCGAGCATCTTGGAGAACATGATAATCGCGCCTTTGCTCCAGTGCTTCAGCGGTTGCATTTGCACTTTGGCGTTCACCGGATTCACACCCTGAAATCATTATTGAAATTCTACACATTCAGAGAAGAAGAAGAAGAAAAACATACCAATGTAAACAAGAGATAAGAAATGTTGAAAATATATAAACAAAACATCACGACCATCGCCATGCATTGCGTCCACATTTCTCACCATGAACTGTTTTGGAGGGAAATTTTCAAACAGTATGAACTTTGAGGTGTTTTTTCATGTATATTTTTTCTATCCACTGCAATTTCAATCAAATATCTTCATCAAAAAATCACTTCTATTCATTCTGGAAATCGTTTCTTATCCGGCAAGTCAAGGAATTAAGCCCCAAACGATAGAAATACTCACCAATTTGCAGGGGACAATCGATTTTATGCCTCCCATATAAATAATCTTTGACGCTTCTTTCAGGCCCTGCGGCAGCGGCCACAGCCACTTCCCGATGCTCTCCATGGAGTACCTGAAAAACAAATAAGGGCCCCATAATATCTAGAAACTCAGGGAAACCCAAAGAAATGTCTTACCCATAATCCAACGCGAAAAGGAAGTAAATCTTCTCGTTGTTCATAGATTGGGTGATATAGTCAACTTGAGCCCTGATCCACTTCTTCTCGGTGGGATTGTAGTGAGCGACAATCTGCAGAGTAATAAAGAGAGTGAATTAAAGAGCATTGTCAGCAAAATTCCGACAAGATTTCTCACCTCGTGAAGCTTTGGTTTGTAACTTATAATCATTTCATCCAAAGTCTGTTTGTTGGGAAGGATTTCCATCAATTTCACCTCGTGTGGCTTGGGCAGTAACTCATCCTCCTCGTTGTAATAGTAAAAGAGATGCGGATTAACAAATTGTGTGATTTTTATCTTGAACATCTCGCCGCTTGTTGAACAATACACAACACGCCATATTGGGAAACCCATCAATTGCGCATGGCGCGTGGCAACACTAATTTCTGGCAACCCATGGAAAGTCATTTCCAACAGCTGTGTCTGTGGAAGGTGCTTGGAAAATTGTGGTTTTTTGTGAATTTTATCGCCGAAAAGTGCATTCTTGAGGATTTTTCCTACACCACACTACTCTTTATTATCTTCTACACCTGTGATCGTTGAATACTTCACCCTAGATCATGCCACGAGGTGAGAAAACCCATTTTTCCCCGTCGCCTTTGTTCCTCCGCATTTTTCACGAAATCCTGGGGAAAACTCACAATTTCCCACTACAAGACTTTCCAATTCTATTCTGAGTATCTCACATTGTGAGATTGTGACTGAAATAATTGGTTCTAGTGCATTTGGAAGGGGATTGCATGTAAACATAACCTTGCTTTTGCTTCCAGGAAAATACGTCAACCACAAAGGGCGCAGTCGTCACTTTACCAGTCCGGAAGAGCTGGAGGAGGAGCGCCTGAAGGAGCAGAAGAAGAAGTGGGTGTTAAACACACACAGGGAAGTATCAAAAGTTGATTTATGAGCTGTTTTTGCCGTGTTTTGCCTTCAGGAAGGGCGGCAGCGACAGTGACAGTGCTGAGGAGGAGGAGGAAGACCAGGAATCCGGCGGCGACGAGGATGGCGAGGAGGAGGAGGAGGAGTCTGATGACGAGGACGAGAAGCCTAAGGGTGTCTCAGGGCTCATTGAAATCGAGAATCCAAATCGCGTGACGAAGAAAGTGAGCCAGAAGGTCGAGAGGATGAGCCTGGAGGAGGGTGGCTCGAAGCCGGAACTCACGAGGCGCGAGCAGGAGCAGATCCAGAAGGAGAAGGCCAGGCGTCAGTACATGAAGCTGCACGCTGAGGGGAAGACTAAGCAAGCGCGCGAGGACTTGGCGCGTCTGGCCATCATCAAGCAGCACAGAGCTGAGGCAGCGGCCAGGAGGGAGCAGGAGAAGAAGGGTGAGCAAGCACGGCACTCTCTGTCTTCAGGACGTGCACTAATTCACGTGATTGATCTTTGCAGAGAAAGAAGAGGCGAGGAAGAAGGCGTCGGCTTGAGCATGGCCAGTAAGATTGGCCGACACACAAGAATCCTCCGGATGAGATTCCTAATGGATTTTAATCACTCTTCCGCCACCATGAGAGCAAAAAGCTATACTGGAATTTTGTTTATAAATTAAATAAAAAATGGATGTGTTTCTATAGAGAAAATAAAGATTCACCGCGAAAATCTTCCGAATTTGAGGGAATTTGAATATAATTTCGAGCATGAAGCAGAAGTGAAACACAATTGAAATGCAAGTGAAACACATTTTCAACGAGTTTAACTTCAATATATTCGAGATATCAAAAAGTAGTTCAACAAAATGGCACAGAATCAGACTAATCATAGATCACTTGACGATTTTCGAAGCCATCAAAGAAGAGTTCATTGTCAGAATCCGCTTGCTCTTCCTCACTGTCCACATGATCAGAATCCGTCTCCATATCAATGTGGCGGCGCTTCACAATCTCTCCTTCGTTCTCTGAATCGCTGGAATCCACGAGAATGGCCGGCTTGAGCCACGGAACCTTCTCAGGTGGATCCATGAAGTATGGCCAGTGGAATTGCTTCCCGGGCAGGGATTTGCACAGCTTGATGGTCAATGAGTTCGCTCGCTTCTTCACCACTGTCTTCTCCTCATCCACACAGCCGAAAAAGTTGATCACACAGCCTTGCTGCGGTCTGTCCTCGAAGACAATGCAGAGAGTGAGGAACATGGGATGCACTGAGAGATGATGACTCTTCATATCCACAGCACTAACAGTCAGGATAATCTCCTGATCAGTCTGATGCCATTGAACGGATGGCGCTGGAAAGAACGGTTCCGGAGGTGGTGTGACAGATGAAGTCGTGTCATCAGAGTCCAGAATCTCTTCAGTCACCTTCTCCACCTTCTTCGACGTCTTCACGACATTGGCGGGAATCTTATCATCCCAATTCGGCACCTCTTCCTCAGCCTCATCACGTTCGCGCACCGACAGTTGCTGTGACAATTCTCTATCCTTAAGGAAATCCACCACCAATGTCCACTTCTTCTCATCTCTGTCACAGTAATTCGCCTCCACAAGTCTCTCGTTGATCACTACATGCTCCTTCGGATCCTCAGCCAGCAGGATAATGGAGTATTTGGTCAATTTCCAGATGTCTTTGTACCTCAAAGTGCACTCGTCCACAGCACAAGCGTGCAGAATGAGACAATCATTTTGCTCCTTGATAAACTTCTCAAAGATCTCATCCAACTCCTCCTGCGTCGCCTCCATCTGGTTTTTCGCCTTCACTCCAGCCATCGAGCAGCGAATTGCCTGCAAAATATTTACCAATTAATTGACCTTTTCACCACAATTGATCGTCATATTTACGCACGAAGAATGGAAAGTCTGAGACAATCTCAGGCGAAGCTTCGAACATCTGCGATGATTGATAGTACTCACTAATGCCCTCATCCACGAAGAAGACACAGTACTCATCATCACCATCAGATGCCTCCTGCCACACCTTTCCTCTGCAAAACTCCCCTTCGAACTCAATCAGACAGTAATCACCAACATTTGGCGTCTCCAGAGGCTTCAGATTCTCTCTCATTCCCACAAAGTCAGCAATATTTTCCTTCAATCGTCGCAAGTCCTTCGCCTTTCTCAAATCCTGCACGTAGAACTCAAACAGCGACTCAAAGCTCAACACATAAATACTAGTGATCTCTTCATGCTCCAATCTCATCCAATTCTCCTCCTCCATCTCACGCTCAATCCTTCTCGGTGCCTCATCAGCATCATCATCCACCGGCATGAACTCCTCCTCACTGTAAATCCCTACAATCAAATCAATCCAGCGTGCCTAAATCAACTTCATTAGTAGCACAGAGACTACTTGAAAAATCTCACCATAGTGAATAGCCAAATCCTTGATGAACTGCATCTTCTCCTCCTCAATCTCCACTGCGATTTGATTCCTCAGCAGAACCTTTCTTAAGTCACGCTGCACAAAATTTGACTGATGACTGTCGACGAATTCAACACAAAAGAGAGATTTCACGTAAATGGTATTCTTCAGTGTGAGATCAATCTGCAAAGAGAACAGCATTAGAACATGGATAAGCCAACACCAAGGTTAGTCCATATCTTCTTCGCCCCTTAAAACATCAATCTTTATAAATGAGGAGTTGTGGGAGAAAGATGTGAGAAAAAGATGTTTCAGAGGTATTAAAAATGGCGGAGAAAAAGTGATCTTTCGTTCAGTTCAATTAAACACCTTCCTCTGGTAATGCGATGCTACAACTCACTTGGCCAATGAAGGACAGATACTCAGAAGTCTGCGAAGGTTCCACCCAACTCTTGACCTCTTTGGTGCTATTGCTGTCCCACTGCATTTCGTAGTCGTTGGGCACTAATCCGAACAGTCGCACGTCAATGAGTTGCTGCGGAAAGGCACGAAACTCATCGGGCAGCAGTAGCAAATCCTGCGCCTGCACTTGTCTCTTCGTCACCGGCAAATCCACACCCGAGATGGTGACCAGTGCCATGCCGCGCTCCCTCTTCACGAACTCCACACGCACGCGACAGTAATTGTCATTGCACTGAATCACAAACACATCCTGCACCCGCACATCGGCCGACGCGGGCGTAATCTTGTTCTCCTGCTCCACCATGTGGCAATTGAGATCGTGCTGGAAGGTTAGAAAGCCATCGCTGCTGTTCACCACACGCCACTTCTTGAAGTGATCCGATTTCTCCTTCATGGCATGCAACAGGTGACATTGGAAGTGCAACGGTGAGATCACGGAGAGGATCTTCATGCGCACACAGTTCATCTTTGGCAGCAGAATTGATGGCTTATCGGCATCACAGAAGACGTGACGCGATGCACAGTCAAGCTGATTTATTCTGCACTCACCAAATTCCATCATAGCCGGACAAAGTCGCACTTCTCGTGAAATCTTGTCCCATTCGCGACGCTGCAAATTCGCTTCGGCACACTGCAATATCTCTGGCGCAATCTTACCATCCTTGAAGCGTGTTCGCATGAAGTGAATAAGCTTCGGCAGCTGAACATCGTTGTCTTGATCCAGGAAAATATGTATCATCACCGGTGACTTAGTTGTCTCACTGCACACCAATTGATTCTCATAGTAGTCAAAGCACACCACAAAGCGCTTATCGAACATACTCCATTTTTCTGGCAGTGAGAAATGTATTAGATGCTGAATATCACGCACATTCACATCCAAAATGCACGCATCTGTGCAGAGAATCACTGCTTTGTCCTTCATCTGAAACTTCTCCAAACTCGGCACCTTGAATGCCATAATCGAAATGGACAATTTGAGCAGCACATCAGTGAGGAAGTCCACTTCCTCTTCTGTGTTGCACACAATCATTGTCGGCTCATTGAAGTACGCCTCCGTGGTGAGAATCTCCCGAATTGTATTCGCCTTCATCTCTCTGTCCATAATCTCTAGACTGAATTTTGCATTGGCATACAGTGCCGATTCCACACCCGATGTGATGCACAGCATCGGATTGTCAAATTGCTGCCACTGCTCACGGAACTCCGGCAGCCACTTGGATGACGTGAGCACCACCTGAGTGCGGCACTTTCCATACTCATCTACGCGTGACAGGAGAAAATTCAGCAGCGAGTGCAATTCCTGCCGGAAATCCTCCACAATTGCATCATAGTCATCCACCACCACGAACTGCACATTGTCCAGCGTGACCAGATCCACCGTCTGGCGCTTCGCTTCCTGCATCAGCCTCGTGAGCGCCGGCGCCGTGGTAAACAGCACATCATAGCCATTCTGCAGCTCCTTCACGTACCGCTGCGTGTGGCACGGACTGGTGGATGCCAGCACATTCAATTTCATCTTCCTCACATCGTGATAGCCAACGAAAGTGGTGCTCGTGATCGTGACACTCTTGCTGGAGGCACAAATCACGATGGCCGACGCCCCAATGGGCGAGTAGCCAGACTGTGTTGTCTCCTTCCTGTTCAGCAAGTGTGTGAAGAGCATGGGCAGATAGGTCAGCGTCTTTCCAGACCTTCGCTGACCAATCAAGATTATCGAGCCACCCCGGAATATGTGAGGCCATCCGAACGATTGAACACGATGAACATCAGCAATCCTGTCCAGGAAATTGAGAGATATAGATTGAATTGAAGAGGTAAAAGCCCATTTCTCACCGTGACTGCCTCAATTTATCATGCACTTCCTGGCGAAATGGTGCCTCAGTGATCCTCTCCACCATCTTCACGGCCAGCGGACTGTGCACCAGAACCCTCTGGTATCTCTTCTTCGCCGTGGCATCAACCGCCGCCTCACCCAATTGCTTCACATCCGTCTCGAGACTATAGAGGACAGATCATTGTCAGCGGGAAGTGATTTATTAACAATTTAATTAATGTACAAATCAATACCTGTTAGGCTTCATTGCAGTCTTCACTGCCTTGTCCTCTGACGATGACAAGCTCAATCTCTGCTTCTCCAAATATGCCTTCAGAGCATACTTAGTGCTCGCCTCCATGGAAGTCCTGGACGCACAGTCACTATAGACACTGTGAGAGATGCGAGGCTTCTCAATCACAGATGGATTAATCTTTTTGCATCGTGGCGTCAAATTGAAATCAAATTCATCCTCCAAATTGGCCTCAATCTTTGGCGTTTGCTGCTGAGTCTCTTGCACATGTTCCTCCGGCACATCCTTGGGAAGTTTAAACTTCTTGTCTTGCTTCTTTGCCTTGCCATTGATCCTCGGCAAGTCCTTTCCATTCAACATCCCACCAGGCATCGGAGTGAGCTTCGACCTCGAGCTCTCAGTCATTCTTAGCTGTTTCTCATTGAACGCCTTCTTACCCGCCATGGCCATCGCCTCGTACTGCTCCCTGATCGGTCTATCGAGTTCAATGTTTGAGTAAGGCATCTCTGTAGTCGCCAGTCGAGTGTCAAGACGGCGTCGCAATGGCTCAACAACAACAACCGTCTCGTGCTGATGCCTGAAGACTGGATGACTCGTGCCATTTGAGATCTTTGCAGTCTCCGCAGGATGATAAGTACTCACAGACTCATCGAAGTCATCATTCTGCACGTCAATTGTCTTCTCCACCCAATTGCTGACAAAATCCCTGGACGTGGAAGCACTCGTGACAATCTCCTCGGACTTCTGCTGCAACGTTGAACTCTTATGTGGATAAATCACTGCGGAAAAGAACTCTTTGTCAGTTTAAATCTGGAAATATTCTCACTAAAAGTCACTCACTTTCTAGGAATCTATCTGATTTGCAACTGAAATCAGCCAGAAGCTCCTCAGCAGTCAATTTCTTCCCATCCGGAAGATGGAAGAGCATAATTCCAAAGCAAAGTCCAGGTTTAGGCGTGATCTTCACCTCGAACAAGATCTTATCAGCGCAACTGATGACATCCTTCATCAGTTCAATGGCATCTTGACTCCAATCCTCGCTGTCCACCAAATTCACACTGAAAGTCGTTGTGTTGTATTTCTGCAGGAAGACAAAAGAGACACAATAACCTCAAAGATCTCCGGGAAAAGAGGGAGAAATTCACCTTCTTGACTGGAGTGAGCGCTAGACCTCCCTGACGAACAATCTGCATCGGGGGCGCTATGTTTTTCGGCATGGGCTTAATTTGCTTCCTCTTTGCCTTCTCCGGTAGTCTGAAATTGCGGAATGTGTCAGTGAAACGCATGGAAAGCGCTAAAAAACATGGCAAAACGCACCCCATGTCTTCCAGCCAAAGAGTAATGACACCATCCGCGGCGATGTTCTGCACAGTCGCCCTGTCCCACACCGCGGCGTGCTGTCGATAGTACCCCACCGTCTGTGTGGACAAAAATACTCTGATCAATTTGACTGGAAAATGCTGAAAAATCAGGCAAAACTCACCTCGCCAATGACCGGCGACCAAGAATCGCAATTCTCGGTCGCCTTCATGGCTCTCTTCAGTTTAGCTCGGAATGCATCAATTTCGTCGTCCTGCTCGTCGACTAGCTTAAACCAAAAGCTGTGCGGACTGATAAAGTGTGTGATTGTTATGTTCTCCATTAAATCACCTTTAATTTGAAGCAGGTAAATCACTTAAAACTCACGGCGCAAAAAGCGCATCTCGCCGCCATAAAATCTCACAGGTTATGCGATGATTGCCCCGATGATGGAAAATGATGACTTCCGAAAGGTGGAGGTGAGAGTCGAAGAATTTCGAAATGGCGGTTAATCTTTTAACACAAAATTTTCTTAATTTTGCACTTTACAGACACACCAATATTCCTATTCATAACTTGTAATAAAAGAGAAGAAAAATTGAATTTTTCATCTATTTCTCTACTTATTCGACTGACAGTCAGAGAATTCCTTTGTGGCCCCTCATCGACTCACACTTACTTTTTCGAAGACAGCAGTTGCGCCACTGTGCGGAGAAAGTTGAAACGTATAGTGAGTGTGAGAATTGCAGTTTTTCTTTCTCAGTTTTCTGTGCATGTTTTTCGTGTGAAAAAGTGCAAAACTCATCAAAAATGACGGCTACTGATCAGATGCGTGCCATGCTTGACCAACTAATGGGCACGGGGCGCAATGGTGAGTGGTGTTTGGGTGTGAAAATCGCCCGTTTGGGCTCTGCCTCGGGCCAGCCCAATATGGAGAGCTGTCAAAGCGCCCCCTTTCTTTACATAACCCAAACGCCCATGGTGTGATTGTTTTTCTCTGACGCGCGCTCTGTTTTCCTTTCGCAGGTGAAACCAATCGATACACGCTCAAGTTCAACGACAGCAAAGTGTGCAAGAGCTTCCTGCTCGGCTGCTGTCCGCACGAGATCCTGGCATCCACGGTATGTGGCTTCCCCCTAGGCTAGACGCCCCAATTCTGGGGCCTCACACACTCCCGGACACCCCAAAGTCCTCCTCCTAAGCCTCCCTTGTCACCCCACGTACAGTAATTTGCATTCTTATCACTTGAAATTTGTCTCTCAAACCACCAAAAAGAGCATAAATGCCACTTAAAGACCAAAAGACTTGAAATGTCCATCGAAGGAACTCTGCTTCTCTTCTTAATCTGTTACGATGTATACTTTTCAGAAAATGCCCATCGCTTTTTCTGTTAAGATGTGGATAGAAAAAATGTTAAATAGGCCTCTTTGTAAGTACAATTGACGTACGTATTAACAAATCAAGTATCGAATTCTACCTCCCCCCTAAAAGACCCGCAGAATCAATCCCCCCACGAAGAGTCGCGCCGCAGGAGCTCAATAATGAATGTGATTTTCTTGCAATGAAGGAGACACAAAAGTTCTCCAACTTGATGGTTTCGCTATCATTTTCTTGGGAGCACTAATCTCCTTCTTCCACCGATCACTGAGTCGTGCCATCAACTTTCGCGGGTGGAGACAGAGGATTTTGTGGCAGTGCCGTGTGGTGGAAAAGGTGGCGCGCGCAAGAGGAGTTTTTTTCAGGAAATTTACACTGATTTTTTATCAGCTATCCAATATTTTCATCTCATGTCTAATTTCTCCTAAGAAAATCCTTTATGCGCGAAGTTCTTTTCTTAAAATCTAAACAAGCCACTTGATATCTATCATTTCTCAGAATTGAATGCGAAGTAAGAAGGTTGTCTTTAAGATCTAAAGTGAAATATCATATTATTCATGCCTTCATTACAAATTGCACAACAAAAGAAAATGTAAAAACGTTCTTATTTTATCACAACAATCATGATTCATTCAATTATTCAGAATTTAAACAACACTTTAGGATAAATTAGAGAAATTCAATTCTTCAATCTCTTTTTGACATTGAACAATCTTATTTCATTATCTTTTCGTCCATATTTTATCATAGCACTTAGATTTAATGCAATTTCCTGAAGAAATCTTGAGAAATCACCACTATTTTCCACACGACACTGTGTCTCCCTTCTTAAGAGAAAATAGTATCGAAATTTTTTTGTTTGTTTTTCTTTTGGAAACAATTGTGGGTGGGAACAATTTTTTTTTCCATATCTTTATGCTATATTTACATGAAAAAATTGCCCCTCAAGAGATGGAAATATTTCCAGAACACTCGAGACACTTCTGCAAATATTTCAATCTCTCCTGCCTGACCTGTAAAAAAAAAACAATATAAAGTCAAAAGCTGTCACAATGGAAAACAATCAGAGGATTAAATTGTCCTTCCATGACTTGAGGAATGTTACATATATATATTTTTTCTGTGGTATATCTTTTGGTTCTTTTTTTGTATTCCTGAAAAGAGGGAGTGAGAGAAAAATTGCCGCAAATCTTGGGTATGTACAAAAAGCCACAAAGCGCTCCACAGCTGATTTATAAGAAAATAGTGGGTAGATGATGATGATGAGAGAGTCTGTCGAATAGGACATACACACACACAGATGTGAAAAATTGTACGTAGAAATTGAATCTTTCTTATTTGAACAAAAGTAAGCAGAAAAAAAAGAAGAAATTTATTTACTTATTTTCCCTATTCCAACACCTGAGATAATGAGAAGTTGGTGGTGGTTTTTGCGGGTGAGTAGACCAAAAAAAAAATTGAGAGAAAAAAAAAACAACAATTAAATACAGAACAGCAGCAAATTCAAGGCAATTTCAGTGCGACTGTTTAAGTGATCAATCGCGCGATAAAGAAAACAGATTCTTCCACATTTGCTCAATGGCGGAAATGATTGCAGAGAAGAAGGGACAAGAGAATTATCCTCTTCGATTTGGGTGTTTCTGAGTAAGAGCAAACAATAAACTTATATTTTCTTTTTTTTTTACACAATATTCTTTCACATATGATTTTATTTAATGAATTCTTCTTGCAGTAATTAAATACTCTCTCTATATTTCCATTTCTATAAAATTGTAGAGAAGATTTTTTTTTATTTCCCTCTCTTTTTTTCTCTTTGTTTTCCGAATCTCTTCGAATTATGATTCTTCACAATGAAATATTATGAAGAAATATAAAATAAAATTATGATTGCAATTGTTAAAGAAATGTAGCAGAGTTTTATAGAGTGAAATCATAAATACAAAAAAGGCCATTCTGTAAGTTTGCCAATATATATATATATATATTTTTTATTATTCCTTTTTAAATAAACTTTTTGAAATAATAATAGAACATTTTATGAAATAACAAATATTTTGATATGAAATGAAATGTAAAGTGATAAGAAATAATGATATTATGTATTTTTCTGTTGTGTGCTTGTGGTGTGGAAGTGAAAAGAAAAGCTGAATTGCGTGTGTGTGTGTGTGTGTGTGTTGTGTCTTGATGATCATTTGAAACAGTCTTCCCCGTAGCTGCAGTCTGCAGATCATCGTCATCGTCGTCCCAATGCCACAAAACCTCACACATTGTTCACGAAGCGATGGTTCGTTGTTTTAAAAAATCCATAACAGATCTTGTGTCACAATATTTTCTTTATATAATTTTGTATTTTATTCTCTATAGGATTTTGAGATTTCAGGGCAAAAAAAAAAATGCATAAAGATCAATGACAAGAAAAAAAAAACCGTGAGATGAATATTCCTAATCTATATAAAGTTGAGATCATGTTAAAACAACCTATGCTTTTGAATTCTTTGATTTTTGAATTTATAAAAAAAGAAAGAAAGAAAGAAAAGGCATATTTAGACATTGCAAAAAAAAGAACTTTTTTTTTGTGAAAATGAAGAGAAATTGAGGAATTTTGGTAGTGTTGTAAATCTCATGAAATGCTCTCTTCTTCTCTTTTTGGCTGCTCAGCGCATGGATTTGGGTGAATGTCCCAAAGTTCACGATCTCGCACTGCGTGCAGACTATGAGAAGGCGTCTAAGTCGAAGGATTACTACTATGATATTGAGGTGAGAATTAAGAAATGCCTCTTTGGCTTGATAGTGTGCGTGTGTGTGTGTGCTAATGGTGAAATATTGTTTTTGTAGGCCATGGAACATCTGCAGGCTTTCATTGCGGATTGCGATAGACGCACAGATGCCGCAAAGAAGCGTTTAGCTGAGACACAAGAGGAATTGACAGCCGAAGTGGCGCAAAAGGCGAATGCAGTGCATCAATTGGCGGAAGAGATTGGCAAGAAGTTAGCCAAAGCTGAGGCACTCGGAGAGGCTGGACAAGTGGAGGAGAGCATGAAGCTTATGAATGAAGTGAGTAATATGGAATAGATAAATGAAATATGGACAAATGGGCGGGGCATTCAAAGGGGTGGAGTTTTGGAGAACACTTTGTAATCATTTTGTGCATATTCTCTACGGCAGATTGACGAATTGCGTGCCCAGAAAGTGAAGGCAGAGCACGAGTATCGCTCATCGATGCCGGCGAGTACTTATCAGCAGCAGAAATTGCGGGTTTGCGAGGTGTGCTCGGCTTACTTGGGAATTCATGACAACGACGTTCGATTAGCTGATCACTTTGGTGGCAAACTTCATCTTGGCTTCATGGCCATCAGGGAGAAACTGAGTGATCTCGAGGTGAGTCATAAATGCTCCAAAACATATTCCTCCGGAGAGTGATCAACGGGGTGTTTCTTGCAGAAAACTGCCGGACCCCGGAAGGCGGACCTGCGGAAGGGCGGAAGCCGCAATGAGCGTGAGTATGAGGAGCGAAAGTCTCGCTATTATGTGGGTGGGCGCGAATTGGACAGGCGATCGCGGGTGCATCGATCGCGGAGTCGCGATCGGAGGACGGGAAGCAGCAAGTCAGGCCGTCGATCACGGTCCAGATCACGTAGTCGATCCCGAAGCCGCCAATCATCGCGTCGACGCTCTTATTCGCGAGAGAGAGATCGCAGATAAGCATTCAATCTTGGTTGGGAAGTTCAATTTTTTCAGCTTCTAACAACAAATAAAGAAAAAGAAAGGGAAGATCAACAGAAGGAGAGGAGAAAAAAAAAATTATGTGTAACATGAATAAGAAATTTGTCCTGCAACAGAACAAGAATACAGAAAGAAAGAAAAAAACAATCATCTTCATGAAATTCCGTGTTAATATAGGAAGAGAAAGAAAGAGAGAAAAGGAGAGAATTTTGTGAAAAAAAGCTCACAGACAATGAAGTGAAATAGAACAACAATTGTATATTTGATGACTGAAGATTGCATCTTTGCCTAGGATGTGAAAAAAGATGGACAATGAGTGGAATGATGTTTGAGGATCTCTGGAAGATGCAACTTCATGGCTTGTGTTTATTATTTTCAACACGATTATGGATTTATTCATCTGAATGTCTGTAGAAAATTTCTGATTTATTTAGTAGCTGTATGAGGATTACATCAAGATTTGAAATAAAGCAGTTTCTTGTGAATGAACAGGGATTAGTATTCTTTGAAACATGGACAAAACTCAAGGATACTCTTAATTTAAGAGATTTGGAATGAACAATGGAAGTATTCTGAATGAAATCGCCGATGAGTAACTGCGCATTTTCCATGATCAGCGTGTGTCAAAAAGTGTTCGAGTCGTCGATGTGCCTCCCCCGCACGCGTTTCCGAGCATTTTCCGTCGGGAAAGCGTCGTGCGAGGGACTGAGAAGCGCTCCTTCGCGGAACCATCCATCAAAGTGGCTCCGACTTCTCTCATGATCAGTGCGTCGCGGCGTGTCGTTGGCATCGCAGTGCTTCAACGCCCTCGCCTCTGTCCAGGAAAGTAAAGGAGGAAAAGCGTTTCTCTGCACTTCTCTTTGGCTGACAGTGCTCCGAATGGTCAGGATTGATGATCGAGCGTGATCCGCGGTGGCGAAGATCGCGTGTGAGATCGCGGCCAGAGTGTGTGTGGGGGTGGAAAGGGCAAGTAAATGGTGAGTAAATCCTGATTAATTCGTCACCTTTTTTTTCTTTCTCTACCCAATCTTGGCCTGTGATCATCAGGAGATTTTGCGGCTTGATCGACCCCAAATCAACTCTTTGAGTGTTTATTATACGCATGAAATTTATTTCTTGTGCTCACACGAGTTTAAAAATACGGAACGGTGCCATGACGTCAATTCCTGACTTCAACTAAAATTAAATTCATTTATTATATTTTTGAAAAAAGCGAGTCACCATGAGTGACTTCCCCACCAAATGAAAATATACACTCCAACTTGAGCGGGACATTTTTCACAAGCGCGTCACTCTTTCTCACATCTCTCGAGAATTAATAATTCCATGATTTTTTAGCACCGCAAAGCACACAAAATATACATAATATTTTCCCTGTGATGAAAGACTGTGAAGATTTATCAATTTCCCTCTGGATTTATTAGCTACAGCAGCATATACACACACACACACACGTAAAGTTGATGAGGAAAGTGGAGCTGACAAAATCAGATCACCGGAAATGAATTTAGCCAAGAATTCCACAGCGAATGAAATTTCAAACATTTAACATCCACAAGAGAATCTCAAGGGTTTCTCTGGCCAAGGGGAAGACAATTGTCACATCTGGGTGTACAAAAAATCATTGTAATTCACTGCAAATATTGTGACAGAACTTATCTTGCTGGCATTTTATGTTGCTCATAAAATGCCAGTAAAATTTATGTGCACAAATTATGTCTTACTTTCAGCCAGTGATTTTTCACCTTAAATCCTTCAAGTTGAAGGCAACTTTCTCTTTTTGAGCAAAGCCCAAAGTTTGTTTCCTTGTTTTATTACGGAAATTTAGTGTTTGACTTTTCAAACTCTTATTCTTTACTGACTTGGTGGAATTTCAATCAATCTTTAGGCATTTCTCTAGCATTCCTTGTGATCAAATTTATCAATAGAGAGACACTCTAGAGAGAAAAAAAAACACACACACTTTTCATGATGGGGAATCGCGGTGAAAATTTACGATCATGATTGTGTAATTCCACAATTATCACGCTTTGTCGCATGCGAAGCACGGAAGGGAATTTTCCGTCACAGGCAAGGCTTAGAAGGAAGCACAGTCGTTGACCTCGTGGCCCAAAAGTCCCTCCAATTCCAATTCTTCGTGATGTGATAAAGTGAAAAATGCTCTCCTCAATTAATTATGAGTGAAAAAATGCTGTGGAAAAGTCCGTGTTCGCGCGGAAAGCCATGTTGGATGGCGCAGGAGAGGAAGAAGAGTGTATATAAAACGTAAACATCTCTTCATGTGTTGTCTCTCCTCTGTTTTTATTATGCCTCCTCTCCTCCACAGCGATATAACTTTAAAAATACATTGCAATCTACTGAAATACACCACAAGATATTTATATATGGGCAACACGGCCGCGGAGGGAGTGAAGATATCTGGCCTAAGGAAGAGGATGGAGAGAGAGATATGAGTGTTTTTCCTCAGCGTAGCCCAGGAAAAAATAGTCCAACGAGGGCATCTGGATTGTGGTCTGATCACTTCTCTCACCACAAGCAATTACCGGGCGGTGAGAAGGAATTAATTGCGAATATTCTGTGTGATGAATTTCATCGGATTTCCACACAATTGCCAAAGGCAGGAAGTCACACCGAGTGTCCTATTTTCACTGACAAGCACACGGGGAAATTGGGTGATCCTCGTGCAAGATCAAACACACCAAAGTGCGCACATTGAGTCGATGAGTTGCTGAATCACAGCCCAATTTATGCACAGAAGCTTTCTGGATATTCACAGATGTCTTTTGACCCTTTAATTGGACCCAGTTTTTATTCTTATAAATCAATATCAACTAATTCTTAATCTTATCCTTTTTAAGTGACTTCACGCGTTTTATAAAAATGTCGTTAAGTGAGTAAAATTTCTACATTTCTCAATGGATTCAAATACTCCCAAAAAAAAAAATCTTGGACCAAAAATTTCTCATTGAAAAGAAAATGAATAATTGTTCCTAAAGTTACAATTTTCTTTAAATTGGCCATCAATATGTATTTAACGATTTAATCATATCAATTTATTTCTGTAAGGCAATATAAATTTGTGTCTCTCAAGTTAAGAATGATGTTCTGAACGAAAATTTTCGCTCCTCAACAAGAAAATCTGATCATATAAACACTACTCTTTATTCTTAGAGATGTCTTGCCAAGGTCCTAATGTTTAACAGTCCCTCCAGTTTCTAATTTTGTAGCATTACAAAGTTTCCCAGCTCAGGAAAAGTACCATCTTTCCTTCGCACTCTTCCCCCCCACATTTTCCACGCCTTTCGGGTGGGTGAGAGTGAATTTTATTGGGACAGACGAAGAGTGTGGTCGATGATAGAAAAGTGGTGAGTGTTTGTTTGAAAATCTCCCAATCCATTTTCCACTGAGATATCGTATAAACAACAGTCATGTAGCAAATCTCTGATGACTTCAGCCACTCGCAATTCGCCGTTTGGCATTTTTACAATAATAATAATAATAATTCCAATAAATTCCCACCGCCCGGCAACAAGAAATCCCGCGAAGATGCGCGCGCGTCTCGCGAGTGCAGAAATTGATGCATCTCGACGATGTGTTAATTGGAAGCGGATGTGGGTGATTTTTCTGCGGTGGCCCCAAATGCGCCTGCAACATTCTTGGCACGCGCAGAGCCGCCACGGTGACAATTGTGCACAAATGGACGCAACAATTCACCAACTCACATGAAAATGCACTTCAACAGTTCAATTTTAATTTCACATTAATCAACCCGCTCGCAATTCCCAAATTCCACATAGCGCCAAAATTGGCGCCTGTGTGTGGTGTGAATGTGAGGATATTTGTGCAAAGTGTGGCTCATTTCTGCACAATTGAATGTGAATGAATGTAAACAATTGTGTGGCATGTTTCTGTTGGTGTGGAGAAAAATGTTCCTTTTGCCGTTCTGGATGAGAGAATTCAGCAGAATTTTCACTTCACTCACCGAATAATGGCATGAACAATTCGAATTACATATTTTGTATTGGAAAATTCCTGCCGCGCCTGGTTTGCAATTTTCACATATGAAGAAGAGATGTCGAAGGTGGGAAAAGTGCATGATTATTGAATCAACATTGTAGCCAAATGTGAAGCTGTGCGTTGGCTAAAGTATCCAATGCGAGAATGAAAATGGTGTGTATATATTTTGTGAATTTTGAGGCAAACACGAAGGAGTTTTCGGGAAAAAAGCACGATGAGAGGCAGCAAAGCGGCGGTGAAGGAGGACAAGCAAAAAGGCGTTCTATTTTGGGGGCGTTCAGTTTACATCCCAAACCATAAATAATATCGGAACATCGACTTATATACAATTTCTCGTAAAACTAATTTTATTCGACGATTGAAATATTATATAGTGATTTCATTCTGGAAATTTATTTTTAGCCGGAAATGAAAATGTTTCAATTCAACGCGCGCTCGCAACTTCCCTCCAATGCTTATGGCTGAAGGAAAATCCCGCGATTACACATACATAACAGCAGCACAGCGTCTTCCATTGTCGGAATGCAGAAGATCTCAATTGATTCCAAGGGTGAAGAAATCGATTGATTTGTCTTTTTCCGCTTACTGCCGCCTGAATTTGAGACGCGACAGCAAACTGAAAGAGGCGCATTACTCGATCGAACACCTTTTAATTTTCTCGGCAAAACTACTGGCCGGGGAGCTTTTGAGAGAACATCACTCAGCGAGAGATCATCAAAGAGCCTAATAAATTTCAAGAAACATCGCTTCTGAGGTGGATTTTCCGCGGCTGCTTGGTGAACAAAGGAATGGGATTGACCAGCACAAGAGGCGAGTGAGTAACCGAATCAAGAAAAGCAAGTGGAATTCACCACTAAATCTCATTTAAATATAGTCCATGAAGAATTTAAGATAATCTAAGTAGATTTTCACAATTAAATTGTTGCGAATGAAGCTTCAATATTCTCTTACCTTTAATTCTGTCACTTATTCGCCTCTTCCTTGTTGTAATGTGGGCTTATTGCGTAAAATTCTGCGCGCGAATCAAGATCAAGAGGGAAAAAAAAATCGGCCAGAACTGAACAAAAGTTCACAGATATAATTCATTGTAGACGGAAAAAAAAAGTTTCCCATTTTCCATTCTTCAGCCTCACATACATATGATGATGATGGGTGGGTAATCTGGCTTTTGAGTGCAAAGGAATGCTCAAAAACTTCTTTCTCCCGGCTGTTCATTCACCGTGAAATGAATTATTTTTCTTGGTGGAGAGAGAGTGTAGTGTAAAAATAAAATAGACAACACAGAGCGGCAATATAAATAAAATGTTAATAAAAATAATCATTTTGGGGAGATATTTGATGGAAAACAGTTTGTGTATACAACGATGGGATGAAAAACTCTCGCCTTGGCTGGCGGAGATTTTTCACTTCACGTGCTTTCCTGGCTTTCTCTCTCTCTCTTTCTTGTGCGCTCGCCGTCTTTGGAAGGCGCAAAAAGGAGGGGCGCGCAAGAACTGAATAGAAAAAAAAACTAATTGGGAATGATCTCGCGGATGGGCTTCGATCGAGGGGAGGATGCTTCACTGATTCCTTCGGTGGGTTGCTGTATTTTTAGCGGCGATCATTCCCAACAAAGTCTCTCCCCCTCGAACTTCAGAATCACACAAGAGAATTTCTCCTCAATGATCCGCGCACTTATTTTAATGCCTCCTTCATTTTTAGCCTTCGCCGTTGCCAAGTCATAAAAGAATTTTTTTTTTTCCTATATATCGATGGGTGGTCGCTCGAGCTGAGAAATCTCCGATGATTGATCCTCGCGCAAACCATTTCTGGAGAGGATGAGCGCACGCGAGAATATTTTTATTGGTGGCACACCAGCACTGCGCCAAGATGGGGGGTTGATTTATGATCATTTTCCAATAATGCCCAGGCCCGCACTTAGATCGCGCGCCCACAAATCCACAATCTTGCGCAGATGCTGTGCAAACAACTCCGCTCCCGATCATCAAACACTTGAGCGCTTAATGGAGATTGTTTTTTTCGCTCTGTGCGCTTGTTGAGCATTGAGAAAGTGGCGCACTTTGGACACATAAATCAAGATTCTCGAGACTTGTGCTTTGGCTTTTCTTCCCAGAAGAAGCATGAAGAGAAAAAAAAAAGAGCAGGGGAAAAACAGAAAAGCGGATTGAAAAATGTTTGCATGCATAAACTCTCTAGCTAGGCGCGATCATTGATGGAAATATGATGATTTTGCTCCACTTTGATGCTCACTCCAGGGGGTGGAAAAGTTCAGACAGAATCCAGGCGATTGCTTGAGCGATTTGTGAAGGCAAGCAGACGTAGTAAAAGTTTAACTAATAAACATTTAAAGTTATACGAGAGACTCAAATGCTTTTCTCTGCTCTCTTGTATTCTTTCGTATTAGTCAATGATATGAAGTATTGAAGTGATTCTATCTTGCGGAATTGAACAGACTATTAATTAGCGATCACTTCACGAGGAGAAAAAGAACATTCACCATTGTTCACGAGAGTTTATTCAAGTGTGTTCTTTTTTTTTATTATTTAAACTTTATCTAAAACATTACACACAATAACATCTCTGAACGATTAAACAAATATTTCCTTATTTTAACTATAAAACAAATAGATTTTGATCTTGATTTTGGTCATTGGAACATAAAATCTGGATGAAAGAAAGTATGATCAATATGCTTAAGAAACGATCGAATGCAAAGCAGACACAGAAAGCTAAGAAATTAAAATCGACATAAAAAATGCTAATTTCTTTAAGCTAAACACACCTTTAAGTTTTCTTATTGAGATCCTTATCTTGAGGAGCAATACAATTAGCAATATATTTAGCCAGAAATATCAGAAGATCGCTAAGAAATTTTTTTTGATATTTTCGCTTTAGCACTTTTTGATTAAGGGCATGCTTTAAATTTAGCTTAGATATCTCAGTGCATTTTGAGCTGATTCTGGGGTTTGCTGAAATTTTATTTCCCGAATGGAAATTCATCAAAAATTTGTGTAAAATTCTATACAAAAAGAAACAGGAATCATTTGAACAGTGACTAATAGAGCCTCTGAATCCAGAATAGATTTCCAATCAATAAATATTCAGTTAGCCTTTCTCCGCATTGATTGGAAAGCAGCCCAACTGAGTTCACAACTTGGAACAATTGGCGGAGGAATGAAAGCGGGGAGTGAGTGAATGTCTCCTCATTAGAGGCTTGGAAGAGGCCCAACAAATCAACCAAACAGACACCCGCGCGGGTCTCTCTGCCAGAAGAGTCCCGCGCGAGATGGTGAAAACAGAAAAAATCGTTATGAAATTCCGCGTCAATTTACTTCATCACAAAAGGGAGCAGAAAAAATTCATCATCATTCCTGAAGAGTTGCACATGTTCCGTGGGTGTGCATTTAAATGAGTTAATTGGTGACGACCAGTCCGGTTGACACACGATCTTTTTGGTCATGTTGGGGAATTCACCTCTGGATTAGCGATAGAGCTTCAGCTGGGCATTGAAGTCATCTTCCGTGAGGCTCTCAGCATTGAGCTCCTGTTGCTGCTTCTGCAGCAGCTCAAAGATCGCCGCCAGCTGCTGCTTCTGCACCCTGGGGAAGAAAGAGGAAGAAATGCGTGACAGGATGTGTGAAGACTGAGTTTTCAGGTCATTTGTCGCACTCATTCTCCTTCTCGCGCTGCTCCAGCGACAATTTCTGCTCCATCTTGCGCAATTCCGCCGACTTGAGCTGCGCCATGAGGCCCAGTGACTGGCCAGCCTCATCCTCTGTCTCCTCATCGCTGGTTCGCACATGAATCACATCCCGCGCTTTTGATGTGGCACCACGCTTCGGAAATTGGGTCCGCAGATGCAAGAAAAACAAACCCAAAATCAGTCACGGCAGATGAAAAGATCAGCTTTTATTTAAAAGAGAGAGAAAGATCAAGCCATGCGAGAGATCGGAAGTGGCGGGAGGACTTTTCATAATCATCAATTCTGGGTTATCCAATCATATTTCAGCTAAATATTTATTCAGCATTTCCCGCCACTCTCCTTGCCGCCGCTACTCACGTCTTCAGGTGGTCTCAGGCGCTTCCACAGGACAACCGTCACGATGGGCAGCACGGCGGTGATGATGAGCTTCACGAGGGTGAGAGTGCTCGCGCTGGCCACAAAGCTGCTCACCTCCTCCAGAAAGTCCATGATTCTCTCCTCGCAGATTCACGAAAGACCTCTGGAAATAACTGTTTGCACTGACATTTCGGACGTGATGAAAAGTCACTGCATGAGCGGATCTGCGCATCTGTGGTCAGGGATGAGCACATTCCCTACCCACATTCACGTAATCAAACATGTGGTAGGCAAAGAGCTGTAATCTTTGTTATTTTAAATAAAATTTTCATCCATTTAAATCCATATTATCTTCGATATTTTCCAAATGTGATTTTATTAAGCAAAAAAATGTGTTTATTGAATCTTGAATCACTCTATAAAAACTTTGAACTGCTATTAATGCTGTTTTTATATAAAAGCCTTATTTGAAAGGCACAAAATATGATTTATTGATTGTCTACACATTCTTTTGTAGACAAATCAATGGGTAAAAAATTCACCTATAAAAGAAACTATAATTCTTGGCGCATTTTTCAAACTCACAGCATTTCAACACTTTATATTGAATTTGTTCAACACTCAGTGACGAATTTAGTAGATTTCTATGCACTGATTCAAAAATTGTCAAAATTATTTTCCAATAACCAAGAGAAATGTGTGGAAAAGCGTAGGAAAATTTTCACAACGGATATATTTCTTTGAATTGCTCATCTCCGTACCGAGTGCAGCGCCTCTGTTGGCTGGATCCCTAAGTGTACTTGTCAATATTTTTCCATCATGTCTACTTTTTTCATGGTGCAGTAAAAAGTGATTTTCACTGTGGAAAATTGTATAATCGACCCAAATTCTAGTTGAAAAGTGTACACTAAGTGTCCGAGTATCTTTTTCAGTTGTAGGATTGACAAAATTCGCCATGATGACGGTGGAAAAGTTCACTTTTCAGAGCACTGTTTATGGCACCGCCCGCATACTATCGCAGCTCCCTTCTGTGGCGTGGACAAGGGTGAGAACTAAATGTCCGGCATTTTTCCAGGAAATTTTGGCACTTATCAGGAACATTCGTGCAATTGCAGGTGGAGGTGATTTATCAGTACTGTCCACAGGAGAACAATGTGGGTGTCTTTTGCTTGGACAGTCGAAATGAAGACGCTGTGATTGCTCTGGGAATTTTTCTTCTGGAGAGTGGTTTGCAGCATGAGGAAGTCATCGTGCCGTACTTGATAAAACTGGCCAAAGGACTGCCCAAGGCGGTGTGGATTGACGATGGAAATGCACGCAGGGAGCAATATCGCATTCCGGCCACGGAGAATTTCTCTTTCTGCCTCAATACACTGCTCACGGACGTGTCTGTGCGGTGTATTAAGTACAGGGAGGAAATCCTCGCCACGCAAATTGACATACTCAACGTTCTGGCCAATATCATCAAACAGAAGAACGCTGTGTCGCCCATGATACTGTGCAAGGCCACAGTTCCACTGTTTCTCGGTCTGGCACGCTCAATGGGACGCTTTACCACGACAGATCCACCTCTTCTGTGCCGTCTCTTTCCAAAATCCTCCACCATGAGCGAGAAAAAGCCGCCAACCAAGGGCCAGATGGTGCAGTCGCCCTCCATAAACCTGGAGTGCGTGAAGAAGAAGGTCTTCTCGCAATATCTCCACAAGTATTACATTCCCTACAACGCCAATGCTCTGTACTTCTCCAAGTATGGCTCTAGCTTTCAGTTTCCTGTGGGGAAAGACGAGCCGGGCGACAAAACAGGCAAAAAGGAGAAGCCTCAAGAGTGCACAATCCAATTCCCAGTGCAGCACCTTCAGACAATCTTCGCCATATCGAAGAAAATGCTGGCCAAGGAAGTCTTGGCATATCTGGATGAGCAGGCGGGCGATGTGTATGAATTGAGACACCATGGCAGATATTATGGCTATCAGTCATTCTCAGAAACCATCAATCTCGTCATTGTGACACTCTTGCGTGAACTTCTGCAGACTCAGTGTGATCTGCCGGCACCTTTCACGCGAGATGTGCAAGAGTTTGTGAAGGATCTCTTCTTGAATGGCAACACACAGCTCCAGAATCGCCAATTTGATGATTCAGATGCCAAGTGGCGCGATAAGAATGCCCACTACGTCAACAAGTACAAGCTGAATGTCCTGGCGAATGCTGCCTGTGTGGATCTCTTGGTCTGGGCAGTGGCTGACGAGACAGGTGCTGATAAGCTGTGTGGCAGGCTGTATCAGAAGCTGAATTCTGTGCTGAACCACAAACTGGTGATGGATCACATGCCACTGCTGATGGTGTGTCTCGAGGGTTTGGGAAAACTGGCTCAGAAGTGTCCAAATATTGCTGGAACTTCTGTCTCTTACTTGAGAGACTTCCTGGTGAATCCCAGCCCAATTCTGGCCAATCTGTATGCATTTACGTGTGCACAGCAGAAGAAGGACAAGGAGATTCCCTTCACGCTGATCGTTCAGAGTCCAGAAGCGCAAGCCTTGAGTTATCAATCAACAAAACCAATGCAGATGACAAGAGCGGCTCAGGTGGCTTTTGAGTCGCTGCGAAATGCAGCAATTGAGAATCTGAGCAAGGCCTTGAGGGCAGCGCATCTCATGGATCCGTATTGTGTGCCGGCACTCGTGGCAAACGTATCTAATCGTCTCTTCACGGCGGAGAAACAGGGAAATGACTCAAAGGTAAGATGGAGAGAAATTTGTGAAGATTGAGAGAGAGAGAGAGACATTGAGTTTTTCCATCGTGTGTTTCAGGACTCATCGTCGATTGTTTCCCTGAATATCATCGTGATGCTGGGCCAGGTGGCTGTGACACTGAAGGATACGCCCAAGACCACTCATAGCATCCTCCAGTTCTTCATTCAGCGCTTCTGCAAGGTTCCGTCGGAGCAGAATGTGCTTATTGTGGAGCAACTTGGCTGCATGATTGTCTCCAAGTGTGAACCGGATACCTTCGAAGAGATCATGAAGATGTTCTCCCGTGTCACTGTACAATCCGCCTCACTGGCCTACACTACCAATCCTGAGCATCGGCGCCAGTACCACAATGTGTCAGATGCGATTGTGAATGCGCTGGGAATGATTGCGGCCAACATCGAGGGGGAGCTGGAGATGCTGGATCTGCTGGGGAAGATGCTGGAGCTGTTCGTGCAGATTGGCCTGGAGGGTGAGAGGAGTTACGACAGCACGCCAGGTGTGCAGAAAGCGAGCTCCAGTGCGGGAAATCTGGGCATGCTAATTCCCGTGATTGCCATTCTCGTGGATCGCCTGCCGCCGATCAGGAATCCGAAGCAGAGGCTGCACAAGTTGTTCAAGGACTTCTGGCTGTACTGTGTTGTGATGGGATTCACAAATTCACGCCTGTGGCCGTCTGAATGGTGTCACGGTGTGCAGAGAATTGCCGCCAAGTCACCACTGCTGATCAGTCAGACTGCGTACAGGTCGGAGATGAGGGAGTTGAACTACACGTCAGCTGTGAAGTCGGACAGTGTGAGTCTGAATGAATTGAGGAGTCAAATTCTGCTGCTTCTTGAGCATCCCACCGACGTGGCGGCAATCATTCACAAGCTCACCTTCCCACAATGCACATATCTGTTGAGTGTCTACTGGCTGGAGACGCTGCGCATTGAGAATGCCAAGGAGCCGAGTCTTGAGCTCATCTTCAGCTATCTGTGTGATTTGGCACTGCAGAAGGACAAATCGGGCATTTGGCAGTGCATCAAGTGCATTGGCGATCAGGTGTTTGAGAAGTTCTGCAATGTGCTGCTGCTGCAAGACAACTTGAGGGAAAATGTGCTGGAGAGTCAAGCCATCTTGCTGCTGGTGTACTTCAATCACACACACAAGCAGATTCAAGTGGTGGCCGATCAATACTTGTCACAGTTTGTGGACAAATTCCCGGACTTGCTGTGGAATCGACGATTTCTCTGGTGCATGCTGGACATTCTGCAGTTGCTCTCTTTCTCCCTGTCACTGAATCCCAACGAGGAGTCACCGAGTCTCAAGGTTCAGGGCACACCGTACACACTGCAGCTGATGGACAGTCTGCCCGCGCGGGAGGGACGCGTGAAGGACTTCGCCCACCGATGCCAGGGAATCTTCAATGAGGCCATGAAGTGGGCGCCAAAGCTCATCAGAAGTCATCTGCAGGAGTATCCCAACAATCTCAATATCTCCTCATTGAGCAATCACTGCGGTCTGGCGCTGGCTTTCGAGTCCATCCTCCAGACCAGCATTGTCAATTCACCGGGAACTGTGGCAACTGGCGTGAATGCCAAGCGATACAACACGCCCAGCACGAATGACACGTCACAGTTCGTGTCGGTTCTGTGTCTGCGCAGCAAGTATGCTGGAGAGATCTCAGGGCTGCTGTCGGTGTTGAATGACGAGGAGAAGCAGGGCCTGGCGGATCGACTGATTAGAGATGTTTGGGAGGCGTGCAAGGAGAAGTGCGATATCAAGCATCGAGGAGCAGTCTGGAGGGCGACAGCTTATCTAATCCTCTGCTCGGGTCTCAATAGAAAGCTCATTCATGCAGTTTGTGAGTCTCTCATGAAGGCACAAAATGTCCACTGTAAACTTACTAAATTGCTCTCTTTTTTTCCTGTGTCTTTCCAGCCTCATCGCAAGTGGAACTCTTCACAGAATCCTCCGTGACCACGGCGATTGAGTGTTGGCAGTGGATTGTCACAGCACGTCAGGATCTCGAGCTGTGTCTCATTCAGGAGATGATAAGTGCGTGGCAAGCGACTTTCGAGAAGCGCTTAGGCATATTTGCCAAGGAAGATGAGATCATGAGTCCAATGCTGATGTCTGATGCCACGGAGATTGCTTCGCTGCAGATGAACGTGACTCCACATGCCATCTGGCTGCAGCTGCTGTCGGAAATGGTGGACACGGCGAAGTACTGTAACAGGGACAAAGTGGAGATGTTCTGCCTGCTGCTGCATCGATGTCTGCCCATTGGGACACGAGATATGCGATTGAATCACAATATTGCCGCTGTGGGATGCAGATTCAAGTTGCTACAGTGTGGCTTGTCGCTTCTGCAGGGAAACACCATTGCCAAGTCAATGGGGAGGAATATTCTGCGAGAGCGGATTTATAGTTATGCCTTGGATTACTTCTGTGGTCCACAGATATCGCCAACGCAGACGAGGAAGGTACTTTATGATGATATTCTGGTGTTGTTGAAGTTCTGGCAGACAATGAGGAGTGAGAAGAAGTATTTGGTGTCGTCTGAGTTGGTGGATTTGGACACGACGGGTCAATTTCCCACAACTTCATCATCCACGAGACCATTGAGTGAGGTTTCTGTGGCCGGGAGTGATTTGGCCAAGAGCAATAGCACAGGAACTGGTGGATGGTACAACACAATTCCCCACTCAACATCAACACTGTCCAAGAAGTCAACGAGGAGCAAGAGGAGTCCCTTCCAGATCGATGACACCAACAAGGAGTACATGAAGAAGAGGAACTTGATCATGGATTTGCTGGCTCTGGAGATTGAGTTCCTCATAACGTGGTACAATCCCACCTCGGCGCCGGATCATGTCATTCCCGGTGAAACAATGATCAGCGAGTGGAGAGCCAGACCGACAAAGGTGCATATTTGGCGTGATCATGCACGCGTGGCGTGGGCTCACAATCCAGCTCTCGGCATCTATTTGATTCAGAGGATTCGCAATGACGACAGTGTAATCGATGAGATATCGCGACTGGTGTGTCAGGATCCCATTCAAGTGGCGCATCTGCCGGAGGCCATCAAGTACTTGGTGACAACGAAGACTCTCCTCAGCGAAGTGCCGGAACTCGTGCAGATGCTCTCGTGGAGTCGCGTGGGTCCCATTCAAGCCATGTCATACTTCTCCAGACAGTATCCATTGCATCCGCTGTCGGCTCAGTATGCCATCAAGTCCCTGAACTCCTGTCCGGCCAATTCAATTCTGCCGTACATTCCGCAACTCGTGCAGGCGCTGCGATATGACACAATGGGCTACATTGCGGAGTTCATCAAGCACATCTCCAAGAGATCACAAATTGTGGCTCATCAATTGATATGGAACATGCAGACGAATATGTATGTGGATGAGGATCAGCATCACAAGGATTGTGAGTAAAATGTGACTCAATTATTGGGTTGTGATATTGTTAACAATCGTTGAAATCTCTCTCTCCCTTTCAGCTCTCTATGACACACTGGACGCTCTGACGCAGAACATCATAAACTCCTTCTCAGGTGCGGCAAAGAGCTTCTACGAGCGTGAGTTTAGCTTCTTCAGCAAAATTACAGCTGTGAGTGGTGATATTCGGGGCTTCCCGAAGGGTCAGGCGAGGAAGAAGGCGTGTCTGGAGGCGCTGAGCAAGATTAAAGTGCAGGCCGGCTGCTATTTGCCCTCCAATCCCGAAGCAATGGTCCTGGATATTGACTACAACAGCGGCACACCGATGCAGAGTGCCGCCAAGGCACCTTATCTGGCGCGATTCCGCGTGCTGCCGTGCGGAATCTCAGAATTTGAGTCGATGGTGATGGAAGAGCAGAGCTCAGTGGGCTTGAGTCAGACGGAGGCATCGACAAATGTGTGGAAAGCAGCTATCTTCAAGGTGGGCGATGATGTGAGGCAGGATATGTTGGCACTGCAGGTGATTACGATCTTCAAGAACATCTTCAGACAAGTTGGACTTGATCTCTTCCTTTTTCCCTATCGCGTGGTGGCCACGGCGCCGGGATGTGGAGTGATTGAGTGTGTGCCGAATGCCAAATCGCGAGATCAACTGGGAAGACAAACAGATTCCGGGCTGTATGAGTATTTCCTGCATCAGTATGGCGATGAGACTGGTCGGGACTTCCAGACGGCGCGCAGTAACTTTGTGAAATCAATGGCGGCGTACTCGGTGATTGGATATCTGCTGCAGATCAAGGATCGTCACAACGGAAACATCATGATTGACACGGATGGCCACATAATTCACATTGATTTCGGCTTCATGTTTGAATCGTCACCCGGTGGGAATATCGGCTTCGAGACTGACATGAAGATCACCGATGAAATGGTGATGGTGATGGGTGGGAAGATGGACGCACCGGGATTCCGGTGGTTCTGCGAACTCTGCGTGCAATCCTTCTTAGCTGTGCGTCCCTATCAAGACGCTATTGTCTCTCTGGTGTCGCTCATGCTGGACACAGGACTGCCGTGCTTCCGCGGGCAGACCATCAATCTGCTGAAGCAGAGATTTGTGCCCAACAAGAGCAACAAGGAAGCAGCAGCTCACATGTTGGCCATCATTCGGAACTCATATCAGAACTTCCGCACGCGCACGTACGACATGATCCAATATTACCAGAATCAGATACCCTACTAAACTACCCAGCGATATGCAACATATATTTATCGAATTGTGATTAGGAAATCTTAGGAAAAATCAGTGTATTTATGACAATTATTATTGTGGGCAAATGAAACCGTTGAATGTTCAAAACTCCCTGACTTTCACACTAGCGCCCTCTGAGCACGCAGTCCAAAAACCTCGAAAACATTGTGGGAAGTTTGTCAGCGGCGGACGCTTTGTTTATCTCCACTAAAACACCACTAATTGCTGTATTTCCGTGTGAATATCGAGTGGAATCCCTGAAAGATGTCTAAAGCTCACCCACCAGAGTTGAAGAAGTACGCCAGCGAATGGAAAATTCAGTGATTCAGGCGTGTTTTGCTAAACTAACCTCACTTTGCAAACGTTTCCCAGGTTCATGGACAAGAGGATGAGCCTCAAGCTGAACGGGGGCCGCACCATTGTGGGCATTCTCAGAGGATTCGACCCCTTCATGAATGTGGTGATCGACGAGACGATAGAGGAGTGCAGAGACGGTTCCCGCAACAATATTGGAATGGTGGTAAGATTGCTGATCTCTGCACAATCTCAGAGTTGGGACTGAAGGACTGTTTTTGCCTTGGTTTCTTTTGCAGGTCGTCCGGGGGAACAGCATCATCATGGTGGAGGCACTGGATAGAATATAGAATACCGCTATACATTACCCCAACACACGAAGTAAAGCAGGAGAGTTAAAAAGATTGTTGTTTCTTGGAACATTTTTCTCTCATCCAGTAAATTTCAATACTCCTTCGTTGGTGTTTGTGAAAGATTTGGGATCCTGAAGGCAAAACTGAAGCCATTAGAGTCACTTATTGTTCACTATGCTGCATCAGGCAGTTGGAGCGGATGATCCAAGGATGGGTTTTCGAGGATGTGAAGAAGAGAAAAGGATGGGTGGGAAAATAACAAGAGAAATTCATGGAATTTCAAATTGAATGAAAATGTCGATGCATGATGGACCCCTTGGTAAATTGAAGCAGTGTTCAATACGTTATTTATCCACTATTGAAAATTGCATTTGTTGCAAGCAACCCCCCGAAGCAATGTTCTTTCTATTGGACAAATAATGAGTGAAGGAAAAATTGGGAAGAAATCGCGCTCATTCGCTCACGGAAATAGAAAATACACGCACAATCTTCAAGCGAGACACATTCGTGAAGATTGTGACACAAATCAAATGCTGAGCGTGAAATTGAGAAGCAGCAAAGAATACGATAAAGTCCACACTCCAGGAGGGTTATCAATAAAATTAATAAACATTTTATTAATAAGCTACTTTACAAATTTGCTCAGTAAAACATCAACAGTTGCTGATTACAAAACTCTTTTTTGCGGAGGCGATATGTTGGAATTAAGACGTCGGAATTGGAGGCTTTCCCGACTATTAATTCTATTGGGTTCAAAGTGAAAATTTACGATCTCACCAATTGACTTATTTTTCCCCTTTCTCAACACGCGATCGCCCAGAATCCATGAAAGAATTAGCGCACAAAATGAGACACTGATTAATGGGTTGAAAAGTGAATTTACCAAAGAAGAAAATAATCCAAAAATTGCCAAAATAATCAAAATTTGAATATTTTCAGAGGCAAAATAACTAAATAAATCAAATTATATTTCAATGAAAAAGTAAATTTTCGATCATTTTCTCTACATATCGCCGTCAGAGCGCAGCAAAGTTGGCGTGGGGGACGCTAATAATATTGCATTTTCGTATATTTTCAAATTAAAATGACTTCCTGGCGGTATTTTAGATAGAAGAGAACACTGAGAGAGAAAGGATGAGTGAAAAAGTTTGCCGGAAGCCACAAATCACACAAATCATTAACGGACACTTGGCGGGGGTGGTTGGGGTGGGAAAAAAGGTTATCATGCTAGAGAGTCAGAATGGAAATTGGCCCAAGCATTGGTGTGCGGTGTAATTAATCATGTGGCAAAAGAAATCACCCCTCAGTGATTAGATAGGGGTGTGTGAGCTTTCGGAATTGAATTTAGCGTTATTATTCATCGTCTTCTTACACCTTGTGTGCGGTGTAATTAAGTCTGCAGCCATTTGCCGTGCAATACCCTCGAGGATGTGGCACAGGAAGACGCGCATTCATCTGCTTGAGGGGCTGAGAAAAGTGTCAGATGGCTAACTTATCGATCACCATCGCACCACCAACATATATGGGAGTGGAATTTGCAAAGTGTGTTGCGGCGGAGGCAAAAGGGATGGAAAAAGAGTCATCGTGTCGGAGTCAATCAGAACCGTATCGATCTTGCAACATGAAATATCCATTATTGTTGTTCAATTACACCCTCGTGCCTCAGCCCAGAAGCCACCCTTGGCTGAGTCGAGTCGATGTGCGGAATGGAGGCTGATACGTGGCTCAGGGATGAATTCTTCCGGATTTCCATCTCGGGAGTGTAGTTAATAAATGTTATAGTGTAAGATTGTGGCATATTAGATCATCTTCAAAATGTAATTATATACAATAATTATCCTCTCTTCAGCCTAGGATGTGCAACAATTACAATGGCGGAGAATGTGTGTTGTGGAGGATTGTAGGTCAGGGCAAATTAAATCAACAACAAACCTCTCAGTTGCTTACAATTCCCAATTGGGCAAATTAGCAGAAACCATCGCTTGTTCAAGTATCCCATACACCTTGTTTTGTGCTCATTCTGCAGTCTTGCCATCTCTGAACATTTCTCTCATCCAGTAAATTTCAATACTCCTCCGTTGGTGTTTGTGAGAGATTTGGGATCCTGAAGGTAAAACTGAAGCCATTAGAGTCGCTTATTGTTCGCTATGCAGCATCAGGCAGTTTGAGCTGATGATTCAAGGATGGGTTTTCGAGGATGTGGAGAAGAGAAAAGGATGGGCATCTTGTGGTGCAACCTCAATCGTCCTGAATAGAAATTCACTGGGGAGTGATTCAAATGCATCGTCCATAACTCCAAACCATCGTATTTCACTCACCCTCCTTCTGCTCCTGCACCTTCCACAATACTTTCTATATGGCCAAGTGAATTACCAGTGGGTTTTCTGCTCTGTTTTCCATTTCCACCATCCCCAGAGTTGAGTAATTACTTTATAGATTGCAACAAAAATCATCAGCAGAAAATCCCCAGAAAACGGCGAAAAAAATGAAAAAAAAGTCACGAAATTTCCAGAAAACTAAATTTGAAATACAACAAAACTTCTACATGCTTTTTAAACATGATTAGTTGATCAGCTAATGATGAAACTAAGCTTTTTCCATGCGTGAGAAAAGAGAGAAAATTATCTGTAAAATGGCGGTATTATTAGCGTCCCCCGCGCCAATTTTGCTGCCCTCTTGCGGCAATTATTCAGCAATCTACTTGAATTGACTTATTTAAATATTTTGCTGGAAAATATTCATTTTTTAGTTTTTTTTGCAAATTTTTCTTTTAAAAATATTTATTTATATTCTAATTTTTACCTTTTTATAGTTTTACTTTTAAAAATAATCATTTTTTTATTTCCTTTCCTGTTGATCAAGAGATGTGATTTTTTGACTGCTGGAAAATCCTTGAAATCTTTAAACTATCATCTTGCCTACTTTGTCCATGTGCGGAAGGGTGAAACCGTTTCTGTGTGTGTGTGAGGCTCATGAGCGAGAGTGGGTGGGAAAATAACAAGAGAAATTCATGGAATTTCAAATTGAATGAAAATGTCGATGCATGATGGACCCCTTGGTAAATTGAAGCAGTGTTCAATACGTTATTTATCCACTATTGAAAATTGCATTTGTTGCAAGCAACCCCCCGAAGCAATGTTCTTGTATTCTTTTGAAAGCTTTAAGGGTGAATAATTTATACAGCGCTCAATATAAGACTATATATGTATTTACAAAAAAAGGGTGGCAAAGCCTTAAACACTTTTCCATCCCTCTCTCTTAGGCCATTTCGACAAATATTGAAGTGAATTGTGCGCGGGGTTGGAATTTAATTATCCCGAAGAAGAAGAAGTTTAAAGATATACCAATGGTGAAGTGATATTGAAGAAAAAAGTCTCAAGGGAGTCATTTCACAACCTCTGTGTTGGGCCATGGATAATGGAAAAATATTGGAAGAGTGGCCCTTTTCGATTTACAGCCAGCGTGACCTGGAAAACCCTGGAAATTGTTCTCACAATCCCCAGGGCAAGTCCTTCAATCCTTCTCAATTCCCTCCGTCTCGCTCCTTTATCTCTCCTTCGGCTGGCCTTTACGCGAACGCGCGGCGCTTTTTGGTATTTCCAGGTGGAAATTGAAAGCCCGCTAGTGATCAAACACAGTGGAGAGAATTTGGGCATTAAACAATCGAATCGCTGGTAATATTTGCTTGGTGATGAAAACCACTCCAGAGTTCAAGCGATTCACCCTTTCAAGTGTGCTGCGAGAAGAATTGACCAAGCATGACCACGAGACTGTGGAAAGTGTCGTGATCTATTGATGGTGCTTCTGTTAAGCGTCTCAAATGCAATGGAAAAGTCCTTCAATAGAAACTCACTCGCTCTCTTCAATACATTCCTCAATAGTGTTTTCTCCATGAATCAATATCACATAAATTTTCCACCCCTCATTCCTCGATCATTCACCCATTCATCGGCATGGTTTTTTTTTTGGTCGCGCGCGCGTCTTAGTGGTAAAAAGTTCAAGATAAAAAGAACTCGCTCTTCGGCTTGGAAAGGAGAATTTTTATCAGCCAATGTCCAATTGGTATTGAGGATGCGGGGGTGGAAATATACATGGGGATGGTTGAGGGATGGAGGGAGTTTCAATGAGAACGTGATATACCACAAATAAAATATTTAATAAATTTTTGACCATAAATAACGGAAGAGCCACAGAGAAACTCACCCTCAACATTGGCAAGCATCACCATTTGCCATCCATTTCGTCTATCGTCAGATGCTCACCCTGGAAAAAGGGATGATAATAGCGTGGGTGGCGAGCGAATGCTGTTGTATATCGGAGAGTGTACAATAAATAAAAAAAATATATATCTATCTGCCACTGGGATATGGAGATTGGCCACCGACGATAAAAGAATCGCATCTATTTTTTACGCTCTCTCTCTGGCTCTCTGTGCGTTCGCCAAGGGGCAGATATTGTGGTCAGAAGTGGTGTACAACATTGCAGAACTGTTTGGCATTGATATTGATAAAATATTTCAAACATTTGCACTGCAAAAGTTTCTGTTTCCATAAGAAAAAATCAATTTTTTTTGCATTATAATCATCTTACAATCACAAATTGGCGATTTATAAGGAATCTTTATTGTTCTAAAATCTAAATTTGCATATTTTCTGGTAAAATCACCGCAAGAGGGCAGCAAAGTTGGCGTGAAGGACGCTAATAATAACGCCATTTTACAATTTATTGGGCGAAAATGAAACTTTCCACGTGGAAAAAGCACAATTTCATCAACTGATGATCAGCTGAGCACGTTTGAAAGACATGTAGAAATTCCAATTGTATTTCACAAAGGTGAAATTGGCATTTGAAGAGTTTCTAATCCAACTTTTGGCAATTTTGTGACTTTTTCTCTCTAAAAAATCACTAGAATTCAAGAAATTACAGAGTTATCACAAAGTTAAGGCCTGAAAAATGCACTTTTTTGAACACATTCAGAACAGTCAGTATGTTATACACAGCTTCAAGGCATATTATCTTCCCCTTGGCGTTCGCCAAACAACCCCAACTCTGCGCTGGGACTTCGGGTATGAAGGAGGAGAAGGAGAAGGAAAAAAACCACTG